ATATGTTCCCTACATTCCGAGATGCGCTGAGGACACTGAGGACACAGCTGCATTTGTTAAGATAAGATTAGTCCCTGGAACTGTTTGTGCTTAGGGCAATTTTATCACGATGTTATTGTTACACTATGCATGCTATGTACCCTTGTCTCATTTTATATAAAGCTGTCCTTTGGAAATAAAACTTCTACTCCCACTTTTTGAAAATTGTAATTAGCTTGATAATTGTTTCAATCATTTCATTTTTAGCCTATTTTTGTCTTTGTGCCTATCGCCATTCCAGACAGTATATGATGGGTTCTGTTTGCTTATCCAATCTGCTATTTTTTATCCCTTGACTGACATATTTACATTCCGTGTAATTATTGATAGTTATGAATTTGTTGCTGTTATTTTGCTGGTGTGTGTGTGTGCATGCTGCAGGGTTCTTAGTCCATGTATTTTCTATGCTGAGCTCATTTTGTTTATGGGTTTTCTCGTCATTTTCTCATTGCTATTATTTTAGCAGGTATGAAATCTGATTTTGCTGTTTTTAAAATTTTTTTATTTTGATGAGGTTTATTAATTTTCCTTGAAGTTACTCTGTAATTTGTTTATTTCTTCCCAACTTTAAAAGAGTATGTTCTATCTTGAAATCTACCTGACTTCCTTTCCATTTGAAAATCCTTTATTACACTATTGACTATTTACTTTGCAATTGTCTTCCTTAAACATTGGTATTTCTGGTTCTCTATTTCAGTAATAAGTTTTGTTGTTGTTGTTGTTTCTACTTTACACACTTCTATATCTGGATGATTGTCTAGTGGTGTTGTCATGTATGTTAGTCCCAGGTTGTTGTCTGCTGTGGGTTCGTTCTTTGTCCAAAGAACTACGCTTACTATTTCTTGTAAGGCTGATTTGGCTTTTACAAATTACTTTCATTTCTATTTCTGGTAAAGTTCAAATTTTCTCATCAGATTCCAGGAATAAGGAGGCCTGGTGTTGTGGTAGTTACGTGTTGGGCTGCGATTCAGAGGTTTGCTGTTTAGAACTACCAGTCACTCTGAGGAAGAAAGATGGGGCTTTCTACTCCCATATAGAGTTACAGTCTTAGAGCCTCACAGGGATAGTTCTACCCTATTCCACAGAACGGCTGTGGGTTGGCATCTACTCCCTGGCAGTGAGAATGAGATTCGAGGCATAGTTTTGATGGGTATATTATTTTTGGTTGGTAACTTTTTCTTTCAGCATTTTATATATGCTATCCCATTGTTTCCTTGCCTGCATCGTATCTGCTGAGAAATCAGAACTTAGTCTTATTGGTTCCCATTATAAGTAACTTTTTTTTTCCATGAGCTTTTCTGAAGAGTTTTTTCTTATCTTTGGTTTAGAAATATTTGCTTATGATATGTTGCAGTGATGAATAATCTTTGGGGAGGTATGTTAGGGTGGGGTTTCTAGAGAAACAAAATCAGTCACAATCATGTATGTATAAAACAGAACTTTATATCAGTAAGAAATTTATATTAAGGATAAATGGGCTGCTGGTTCTAGAAGTCAGACATAGGATCCAAGCAAGCAGGAAGTTGGTCAGAGGGAAGCTGGAAAGGCCAGTGTTTCACAGTCTCTTATAAAAGACCACAGCCTCAACAACATCATTAGGTTGTGTCCTGATTGAAAGGTTAGACTCGACCCGTACCTTCCCACAGGTGCATCTGGAAGATACCCAACCTAACCCCCGCGGAGTGTGTCTGGCTGGGGTTCATTCAGCTTGTCAGATGCCTTTCTCCTTGTCTTTCACACTAGATGAGTTTTCTTCTAACCACTCTTTGATACTTTGTTTCTTTCTGTCCTGTAATTCCAATCATCTCTTGATGGTGTTCCACACATTTCTTAGGCTTTAAATCATTCCTCTAGCATATTAGTATCGAGATATTTGCTTAGCATTCACCAATAAGGCTTTACATGGATTCAATTGAACTTCCTTGCTCTTTAATGCAATATCTATTTCTGAAATTATAACATGAATCTTCTGGTTTTCTTTTAGCTGCTCTGTGTGCATTTTAATTATGTCTACTTTTTCATTTTACTCATGTAGTGAATATTTGGTTTCTTCTAAAAATGTTTTTCCTTTCCTTGAATTTATCAATAGCGTTATTGATTTTTCTCCTCATCGGCTGAAAGTATCTAACTATTATTATTTTGAATTCTTTATCAGGTAGTTCCGATGCCTTTTCTTCCTTAGAAAAGAAAGGTCTTAGAAAAATCTTTGGGCTCTGTATATTGGTCATTTATTTGCATTGTTCTGTTTTGTTTCTTCATGTGAATTGAAATTATACGTTACCTCAGAGTCACTGTGGTGCTGTGGTACAGGATTTGGGTGGGTAGGGATCCTAGCTCAGGAAATGTAACTGCTATAGGTATGGATGTGGCTTGGTTGTGTGGGCACAGTTTTTGTTTCCAGTTTGGTGGGATTAGAAAAGTAAAAAAGAAGAAAATCAAAGCAAGAAACTGTCAAAAAAAAAAAAGAGATGTATAAGTAAATAAAGAAGTAGAAGGAAAACAGGCCAATAACAGCAAGAAAAATAATTTAATTATAAATAAAAGATAATTTTAAAATAACTAAAAAGAAAAGAGGTGGGAATATAAAAACAAAGTTAGATAAAAATTAAAGAGAAAGAAGAAAAAAAATACAATAAGCAAAACTAAGAATAGAGAAATGGAAGATAAAAAAAATAAAATATAAGAGTAAAGAAAATAACTCAGAGAAAGAAGAAGGTATGTTAGTCTGGGTATACTAGAGAAACACCAACCCCCCTTCACTCATAATCCTCTCAAGTCCCAAATTGACATGATTATGTAACTACCACAGAAAGGAAGGGGAAAGAAACACCAAAGAAAATAAGAAAACTATGAATGAAAGGATTACAAAAAACCAAGGGATATAGAAGAAAACAAGGAAAGAAAACTGGGGCAGGAGCAGGTGGGCTAGGGTACCTGGTAGGGACCAGTCAAGGTTGGGGAGAAAGCTTGTCTTAGATCAGCGGTTCTCAACCTGTGGGTCATGACTGATTTGGGGGTTGAGCGACCCTTTCACAGGGGTTGCCTGATTCATAACAGGAGCAAAATGACAGTTATGAAGTAGCAATGAAAATAATTTTATGGTTGGGGGTCACCACAACATGAACTGTATTAAAGGGTCGCGGCATTAGGAAGGTTGAGAATCACTGTCTTAGATGGATTGTTCAGCCTGTTAACTGAGATCAGGAATTGAATCTGGAAGTAGTTCATGCAGGCTCAGATGGGTGAGGAAGAGAATTCCTTTGGACTGTATGGATATCTGGGGGGCAAGGTGATTGGATGGGAAGGAATTCTTTTCTGTCCAGCATGGCCTGCATCAGGGTGCTTGTTGGGCACTGTGAATTGTGCTGGTCTAATGGGCAAAGTTCACATGCCTCTAGACACGGGGCTGGTAAACCAGGAGGTAATTTTGACCTTAAACAGAGCAGAAAGTGTTTGGGTGTGTGTGTAACCAACTGCTAGGTGGGTGAGCGTGGGGGGTTGCCACTCTAGTCACCAGGTGGATGTGGGGAGCAAGGGAAGATACTACCTTCTTGCCGTTAGCTCCCAGTGGATATTTGTGCTGGTCTTGAGCAAATGAAGCTAATTCTGGAGATCCCACATCAGATCAGTTGACAATTCACCCATCTGTTACATCTCTGACTGTTCTCCTAGTCAGCCAGTCGTCAATCAATCTATCCATTTTTTACTCTGATTTTTAAAGGTTCCAGAATTATCATCTACATCTTTTCTCTCAGGTCTTTGCTGTAGACGGTGTATGTAGTGTGTTTGCCTAGTTTTCCATTTTTCCAGACGTTGCCCCATATTTCTTGCAAATATAGTTGTTATATTGTTAGGCGCCATCGAGTTGGTCCTCACCCACAGCAACTTTACGCACAGCAGAAGTAAACACTGCCTGATCCCGCACCCTCCTCCTATTGCTCCTGTGCTTGAGCCTATTGTTGCAACCATCGGGCCGATCCATTTTCTTGAGAGTCTTCCTCTCGTTGACACCCCCTCTGCTTTAGCCATGATGTCCTTCTCCCAGGACTGGTCTTCCTTCACAACATGTCCAAGGTATGTAAGATCGAGTCTTGCCCTCCTGGCCTCTAAGGAGCACTCAGGCCATACTTTTCCCAAGACAGATTTGTTTGTCCTGTTAGCAGCCCCCCGGCACTTTCCACATCTCCAGCGCTACCATTCAGATGCATCAATTCTCTTTCAGTCTCCTTTACCCAATGTCCCCCTTTCACATGCATATAACACAATTAAAAATACTCCGGCCTGGGCAAGGGGCACCTTAGTCTTCAAAATAACATTCTTGCTTTCAATATTCTAGAGAGATCTTGTGCAACAGATTTATGTAATACAACTTGTCTTTTGATCTCTTGACTGCTGCTTCCGTGAACATTGGCTGTGGATCCAAGCCATACAAAATTCTTGACAGCTTCAACCTTTTCTCCATCTCTCCCTTTATTATCCCATAGACAAGTGTAGTCTTTGTTGTATTCATTCACAATTGGCATTCTGCCAATGCTTGCAGCTTTAAAAAAAAAAAATCAATGCCACCTACTGAAATGGTTCAATGTTGGTCAATTCATTTTGGCACGGTGACGCTGTTTATTCCTTCCGTCTTCTCTTAATGCGTTATATGCTGTTCAGCATTTTGCACATAGAATTTTTAATATGGTTTCAATGAGTTTCTGTTTATTTTAAGTAAAAAGCCCTATCTTCTCCTAAGTTCCTCAAGGATAGGGACCAAGTTCCTTTGTAGCCTAACTTTCATTTAACCATGTCATACCTGTGTTAGGCACGCAAATAATATTTGTTGAATTAAAAGTATAAAGTATACAAAGTTGGGGCATTTGTTATATTTTAAGAGCAGACAAATTGAACTTTGGGAGTTAGGAAATACTTTAGCAAATATTTCTAAAAGATTTTTGTTGATTATCTTTTAATTTTACCTGAGCATATTCTTCTACAATTCTTATTTCTTCTGCCATAATTTCTTCATCCTGCTTAACAAGCATCTGAACTTTCTCAACTATTTGTGATTCTTTCCGTAAATTTTCCATAAGGATTTCTATTTCCTAAGGAACCAAACAATTAATAGAATAAATTTTAAGAAAGCGTCATTCAAATAACTAATATTGTATTATGAAATGTATCAATATTAGTGTGAAATGCATTTATTGAGTAGACTAATGATGGCTGGCATAAATATCAAATAATTCACATAAAGAATGATGAAGTGTAATGATTTTTAGAATACTTGACAGATTGCAAGTTATCACAGCATATTTCAGATGAATTTAACAAATCAACTAGGAGAATTTTTTGCACGAGTTTCCATAATTACTTATATGAAAGAGGTTCAAAAAATTCATAGAAGTAAAAGATGATAGAATTTTTCCAAAACCTTTTTGAAGTTTCTTTGTATACCTATGATCACATTTAATTATTAAAATATAATGTTACTGTTTGCTGTTACCTTTGTTTTTCAATGAAGCTACAAGAGGTAAGAAATTCTTTTAAGTTTATGTAGCTACTCAGTAACAGAGCTAGAATTCTAACTCATTTCATGGGCTACCAGGGCCTTTGTTTTCAAACACTGCTCTATCGTACTCTAAAATCTTTAAAGGACATTTGAAATGAAGTTTACCTTTGATTTTTGTTCTATCTGAGGACCAAGAATCAGGAGCTCCTCCTGCATATCTGTAACTAGTGTAGTTGCTTCCAGGATCTTTGATAGACCCATATGAAAACGATCCCTGAAGAACAAAGATGTATAAGATATACCAAAATATTAACAAATAGTATTTAGCAATATATCAAAGAATTATATACTCTAGTCATATGGGCTTTATCACAAGGAAACAAAGCTGGTTCAATATTTGAAAGTCAATTGATATAATTCACTATATTAATAGGCTAGGAAAGAAAAATCACATGATCATATCAATTGATTCAGAAAAAAATTTGAAAAAATTCATGACAAACTATTATAAAACTGGGATTAATTAGACTGTGATGATTGAAGTTGTGTGTCAACTTGGCTGGGCCATGACTCTCTTGTTTGACAACTATGATGTAGTTTGGCAATTATGTAATAGTGTAACCACTCCCATTATAAAATTTGTTATGAACAGCTAGTCAGTTGAAAACAGGTTTCCTCAGGGGTGTGGCCTGCATCCAACATATGTAGATGTGCTGGCCAAACTTTCTAGCTTTTTGTTTGATCTGGATCCTGCATCTGAGTCATTATATAACCTCTCATTCTTTGTCTGTGGGCCATGGCATGCTCCATTGCCTACTCATCTTGGATTTGCTAGGTTTTGTAGCTTGTGTGCCAGTAGCCCGTGTGCTAGCAGCCCACCATCTTATGTGCTGACCTTATATTTGTCAGTGTCTGAAGTCAGCAGCCTGCTATATCACCCGCTGACCTGAGTCTATCAGGCCTAGTAGCTACATTGGTCAAGGGAGGCCTCCGGCCTGATATCTGACCTGAATTTTCAAATTGCCAGCCTTGATACTCATATGAGTCACTTCCATGAAATAAAACTACCTGTATCTATAGCTGATCAACACAAGACAAAAATGCCCACTCCTAGCACTCTTATCCAGCATAGTGGAATAAGGCAAGAAAAGTGAATGAAAGGAAGAAATGAAATTGTTGCTATTTTCAAATGCCAGTCTATGTAGAGAATTCTAAGTCCTCTTCAAAATATTACCTGTATTAGTCCAGGTAGACTAGAGATAAATCCAGAGACACTCACATGTGTGTAACACAGAGCTTTACATCAAAGACCAATTGTATATTGAGAAAACATCCCACCCCAGTCTAGATCAAGTCCATAAATCTGGTATTAGCCCATATGCCCCATACTAATCCATAAATTTCTCTCTGGGCACATGCAATGATGCTGAATGCAAGAAGATCACAGGTTGGTGGGTGGAAAGTCCTGTAGCTCCAATGGCGGTGGATACATCTCCAGGGCTCTGGCTGCCATCAGCATGGCTTCACGTGGCTTGTCAACAGGAAGGTGAAGCAGAAAGAGAGAGAGAGCGTGTGTCCAGTCTCCAGTGAGCTATTTATCTCTGTCTTGCCTCCAAATGAAGTCATCAAGCTGCAACCTGATTGACAAGCTAACCTCTACCCCATTGATTCTTAATAACCCCAAGATAGGAGATTATGTAACTACTACAATACCTGTTAAAGAATGCCTAATAATTAAGTAGCAAGAGATAGAATTGAAATTAATTGTCTGATTGGTGCTTTATTTTTTAACAGTTTCATTGGCATATGATGCACATATCCTACAATTCAATAATTCATATCAAGAAGAATTGTTCAGGAAGCACCACAATCAGTTTTATATAATTTTCTTTATTCTTGTATTCATTGCTAACAATTCCCCATTTCCTTCCAACCTCCTGTGCCATACTCACAAGGAACCATTAATCCAGTTACTGTATCTATAGATTTACCTATCCTGGATTTCATACACAGAAAAACCTTAAAAACCCAAACAGAACAGAACAAAAATCCACAATGACTCACCTTCCCCAAACAGAAAACCAAACAAAACAATACTAACAAAGTAAAATAGATAACACCTTAATTGAAAAAGAAAGTAGAAAACATTAAAAACCAGAACAAACTTGTCACCATGCAGTTCACAATCACAAATAATTGGAAATAGCTCAAATTTCCATCAATAGGCAAAGAGATGAAAAACCTCTGTAGACACCCAATGGAATACTACACATCCCTAAAAAATAGTGGCAAAATGATAAAACCCCTCATCTCGTGGAAAGAGTTGGAGCATATTATGCTGAGTGAAGTTAGCCAACCACAAAAGGGCAAGTACAACATGAACCCACTGAGGTAAATCCAAACGGCAGAACGGGCATAAGGGAAAACACAACATAAAATTCCCAGGCTGACAACCAGATATTCTGGCAAGAGCCAGACCAAACCCAGAGATTCACATGTCATCAACGACAGATGCAGATGCCAACTGCGCTGAAAGGCATCATCTCCCGGCTCTCCCACCCTCTTTATATGCAATGGGTGTGTGTGTGTCAGGGCACTAACCAACTCAAGGGGGGGTATGGTTTCTGTCTCCACGGGAAAGGGAGCGTGAGAGTAGACCTCATCCCCCCGTGCCAATCCACGAGGGCAAAGCTCCCAAGTGGATCAGTTCGTTCCCAGAGACAGTTCGTTCTCAGCTGGAGACTGGATGCCTCTCCCTAGATGACAGCATTGCAGCGGACAGCCCTGAAGATACAGTTTGGGGAAAGCGCTGGCCCGACCCGCTAACACGCGGGCAAGCCGAGAGGGGAGCGCAACAGACCAGTGATGGAGCAAAACCTCGAAGTCCCCGAGGAACCCAGATTGTAGACTTCTGACTTGGGGGGCAGCACTTTGCACCCCACCTGAACTAGTTGGGGTTACTCACAAGGGCGCCACACTGAAAGTCTAAGGCGTAAATGGGGGGCATTGGAGGGGTGGGAGGTGAGTGGGGAGCCAACCATGGCGGGTACAAGGAAATAGGGAGCTCTAAAATGGACCTCAAGGAGGGTGTAATTTTTCTGGGTGTGTTTGATCAATAAAATTTTATCTGAGAGGAATTAACTGAGAGGTGAATGACAGGCAAACATAATAGTGGGGTAAGAGGAAAAACAAACAAACAAAATCCAATACTTATATATGCATATTTAAATATAAACATATATGAATATGTGTGTATTTGTTTTTATATGTACATATATGTAAACACAAGTGGGAAGCAGATGGACTTCGGGCCTCTACTTAAATCTTACCTCAGTACAAGAATGGTTTATTTCTTTAATGATTCCTCCCACCACCCCCCTCCACTATCATGACCCCAATTCTACCTTACAAATCTGGCTAGATCATAGCATGTACACGGGTACAGACAAGAGCTTGAAACACAGGCAACCCAGGACAGATAGACTCTCAGGACCAATAGTGAGAGTAGCAATACCAGGAGGGTAATGGGAAGGCGGGGAGAGAAAGGGGGAACCAATCACAGTGATCTATATATAACCCCCTCCCAGGCGGACAGACAAAAGAAAATGGGTGAAAGGAGACAGCAGTCAGTGTAATGTGAGAAAAGATATAATTTATAAATGACCAGGGGTTCATGAGGAAGGAAGGGAGGGGGAGGGGGAAAAGGAGCTGATACCAAGGGCTCAAGTAGAAAGAAAATGTTTTGAAATGAAGAAGGCAACATATGTACAAATGTGCTCGACACAATAAATGTATATATGGATTGTGATAAGAGCTATAAGAACCCCTAGTAAAATGACAAAAAAATGGATTGTTCTAGTAATGTGGCACTGTATGACACCTACCTCCCTGACACAATTGCTGAAGACAAAATGGGTGCATAAGCAAATGTGGTGAAGAAAGCTGATGGTGCCTTCCTATCAAAAGCTATAGCATCTGAGGTCTTAAAGGCTTATAGTTAAGCAAGCTGCCATCTAGCAGGGAAGCAACAAAGACCACATGGAAGAAGCACACCAGCCTGCGTGATCATGAGGTGTCAACGGGAAGAGGTGTCAGAAGTTCAAAAAACATGCATCCAAATTGATATGAAGCGTAGACCCAAAGTCTACCAGCAAGACAATTGGACAGTCCCTCTTACAAGGGCCTCGTGGAACAGAGGATGAATCCAGGGTGCAGTGTGGCACCGATGAACCACATAACTATCCTCTAGTTCTTTAAGATTTCCCCCCTTTACTAGTATGGTCCTTATGCAACATACCTCATTAGCCATATTAGATTTGCATGTGTACATTTGAACATTTAAGATCACTCGGTACAGGGCAGTCAAGATAGAGTACCCCTCAGAGACAGTGACAGGAGTAAGGTTTCCCTGAGGGTAAGGGAAGTAAGAGTGGGGAAAGGGGAGTTGACAGCATTGATGATTGTACAGCCCCACCTGATGGGATTGAATAACAGGAAGGGAAGGGATATACTGGAATGAGTAAGATACGTCAATAAAATGTTTATTAAAAAATACTAGAACAAACTTAAATGGATCATAAGGGAGCTCAAATGACCGGGTGCTAAACTTTAACCTAACGGCATCTGCAGCAATCCACTTCCCAGTGCACTGTGCATGTTAGCAAGGCCATTCACATCCCCGCTCCCTGGTCAGGGGGAATTCCCCAGGAGCTTAATTCACATGTATTTCTTCTTCAATTAAAATAACAACAAAACTGAAACAGCTAGAAAATGGGCAAAAGGGAGATAAAGTAATATTACATTTTGACCTAATTATGTCTGCCACAATCAACTTTAGAGTGCTCTCTGATTAGGGCTATTTCCCATCCTTCAACTATGATCAGAGGGAATTCACTAGAGACTAGATCCATGAGTGGACCCTGATAATGGATTATGGGCTTCCATTGTCCTCCATAGCCTGATGCAAACCAGGTGTTCACAGTTTCAACTCTGATATGATTCCTTCCTTTAGATTTGGATTGTATTATTTACAATCCTTGGATCACACAGGCTGTGTGCTTCTTCCATGTGGACTTAGTTAATGCCTCACTTAGATGGATTCTTCTTTGAAAGTGAGCCCTTAGGACCCCAGATGTTGTTTTTTTCTGGTAGCTAAGCACCAGCTAGTTTCTTCAGCACATGTTTCTATAGCACCCATATCTTCAGTGATCTCATCATCGGTTGAGCATCAAGCAGGGCATGTCATAAGAATTGCTCTTAGAATGGGGCTAGAATTAAGTCAAACCCAAAGTCTACTCATGTCTCTATGGTTTATAGATGTCTCTGGTTCATCTTAGCGACATCTTTGTATTTTATGTGGTCGGTGCTTTAGTTATTACCAAAATTTTATATAGTGAGGCCAAGGGGGTGGTCACACAAAATTCAAATTAGGTGCAAACTTATATTTACTGGTGTGGTGTGTGTTTCTCTCTTTGTGTTTTCTGTCCTTCCCTATCAATTACTCCCACATTGGCTGCTTTAAAGGAAAACTCATGGCTGCTTCAGCCTAGTCTCTCTGTGACTCTCCTGCATTCCCTGCACCCTAGACCAGGAGAGCACATCTTCTCCTGGAAGTTGCTTTTGATGGCAGTGAGCGCATGTGGTTAAAACTGACAGCGAAGAGAAAGCATTATAAATGGCTTTGCTATTAACTAGCATCATGCTTGGTAAAGTGGTAGGGCAGCAAAACAGAGGAAGGCTCTTGACAAGATGGATTGACACAATGGCTGCAACAATGGGTTTAAACATAAGAACAATTGCGAGGATAGCACAGCACCGGGCAGTATTTTGTTCTGTTGTACATAAGGACCCCGTGAGTTGGAACCGATTCAAATGCACTTAACAACAAAAATGGATTATACATTGGGCTGCTAACCTCAAGGTTAGTGGTTCAAAACCACCATTGACTCCTCTGGAGAAAGAAGAGGCTTTCTATTCCTGTAAAAGTTGACAGTGTTGGAAATCCACAGGGGCAGTTCTAGCCTGTTCTGTAGGACCACTATGAAGTAGAGTTGACTTGAAGCAGTGAGAAAATGGATCAGATAATGTGTTGTCAATGCTCATAAAGGATTAGAAAAAATATATTTGATGTGCACAGTTTTCACTTTACAAATCATTGTCAGTTGGCAAATCAGAATTTCAGTATCAATGGCTCTGAAGTATTGCCACACATCTGCCAGGAGGGGAGAGTGATGTATCATGGTAATGGATATGGGCCTGTTTGCTCAGAGCCCCCATATTGCAGTGGTTAAACTTTCAACTGCTAACTGGAAGGTCTGTGGTGTGAACTCACGGTTGCTCCACAGAGAAAGGTGTGGTACTCCGCTTCTGTACAGATTTGCATCCGTGGAGATTGGATGGGGTGGTCAACTGGGTTGCGCTAACTCAGAATCGAATCCATGTCAATGCAATCTTTTTTTGCCAAGTAAAATTTCTTGTCTAGTAAGTTCATAGTATTAAATTCCTCTGGTTGTCAAAACCCAATCCAAACAAAGCAGACCAAATCCGACTACATTTTAAAAAGCAGAGAACTCTATTTTCTGAAGCAGAAGGCACCGCTGCATGACAAATCTGTGATTATTGCTAAAGGTCAGGCTGTTTGTTTTCCAATAAAATAGACCACATTGTATACACAGAGCATGGGCCACCTTTACAGGTGAATTATATAGGATTTTTGACATCTTCTTGAGTCTGGTAGAGCGCCGTATCAGCGGATAAAGGTGTTTTGCTCAGGTTAGAATGCTGCTATTTCAGTTAGATCAGCTGACTTTGGTCATAGCATGCAGTCCTTGAAACCACAGGCCGTGTCCGGGGCTGCGTGAGATTGTTCTTGTGTCTTTAAGAAATTGTAGCTAAGTGCTCTGTTCCACAGGACGGGGTTTGTGACAAGTGTAAAGAACCAGGCCTACTTCAAGAGATACCAAGTGAAATTTAGAAGACAACAAGAGGGGAAAATGGATTATTATACTCGAGGATGCTTGGTAATCCAAGATAAAAATAAGCACAGTGACCCAGTTGGACGGGGTAGACCTGCCCCTGTGGGTTTCTGAGACTGGAACTTCTTACACCATCACTTGCAGTTTGTTTGCCATACCGTGTGGTGGCTTCTGTATTGCTGTGATGCTGGAAGCTAGGTGACTGGTATTTTAAATGCCAGCAGGGTCACCCAAAGGGAACAGGTTTCCATGGAGCTTCCAGACTAAGAACAGATATCCAAGAAGGTTATGGCTCCCCACTTTAGAGGAAGGGGTCTTTGAAGGTCTTATGCAGAGCTCTGAAACATTGTCCAATACTGAAGGACTAATGGCTGGAAGCAGAATGTTGTCAGAGACAGTGTTGGAGGAGGGGTCCCTCTAGGTTGGAGGGCACTAGAGATGTGACTGAGAGCTCATAGCAAGGGGTTCAAGGAGGAAGAAAATGTTTTGAAACTGATATTGGTAGCAATTTTACATTACTGCTTGATGTGATTGAACTATGGAATGACATAATGTCTGGATTAGTTCCTAATAAAATTGTTAGAAGAAAAAGAAATGTGACGGAGTGGAGCTGACCTGGTGGCCTGAGTGGGGTAAAACCTCTATGAGTGGAGTCTTCAGGATCTTTATTGCTGATGGGGCACACACAGCTCAAGATAACGAGAAATAGCTGCAAAAATCTGCTAATGATTTACATTTGGAATGTGTGGAAGTATGAATCTAGGAAAATTAGAAATCATCAAAAATGAAGTGGAACACATAAAACTCGAGTATAAATGAACTGTTATTGGCCATTTTGAACCAAAAAATCATATGACTTATCATGCCCGTAATAACATAATCAAGAGGAATGGCATTAAATTCATTGTTAAAAAGAAAGGATATTGTAAAATCAACCATGAAGTACAATGCTCTCTATGATAGGATTATATCTATTCATCTTCAAGGAAATCCAATCAATATAATTATTATCCAAATTTATGCATCAACCACAAAAACGAGTGATGAAGAAATTGAAGACTCCTACCAATGACTTCAGCCAGAAATTGATCAAACACGCAACCAGGATGCGTTTGATAACTATTGGTGATCGGAATACAAAAGTTTACGGACTTGTAAAATTCTGTCCTTCAATATTCAGCTTTGTTGACTTATTCATAACAGATAGCGTTTTTCCAACAACACAGAAGGTGACCATACTCATGAACTTCTCTGTATGAATACACAGAAATCAAATTGATAATATCTGTGGGAAGAGACCCTGAAGAAGCTCAATATCAGCAGTTAAAATCGGCCAGGGGCTGCCAATGGAACAGACCATCAATTGCTCTTATATAAGTTAGGACAAAACTGAAGAAAATTTAAACAAGTTTATGAGAGCCAAATTATGACCTTGAGTCTATCCCATCTGAATTGAAAAAACATCTCAAGAATAGATTTGATGCATTAAACGTTAATGATAGAAGACTTGATGAACTGTGGGAGGACAGGAAGAAAATCATTCATGAAGAAAGCAAAAGGACATTAAAAAAGACAGGAAAGAGTGCTGGCTTCGCACATATACTAAAATTGGAAGGACACAGAGAAGATTAGCATGGCCCCTGCGCAAGGATGACATGCAAATTCGTGGGGGGAAACAATGTAACTTCCTCCCTGGGGAATGGACAACAGAAAAATGGGTTAAGGGAGACATCAGACAGTGTAAGATAAGACAAAATAAGACAAAATAAATTATCAAGGGTTCATGAGGGAGGGGGGAGCAGGGAGGGAGGGGAAAATATGAGGAGCTGATACCAAGGGCTTAAGTGGAGAGCAAATGTTTTGAGAATGATGAGGGCAACGAATAGACAAATGTGCTTATACAATGGATGTATGCATGAATTGTGATAGGGTTGTATGAGCCCCCAATAAAATGATTTAAAAATTGAAAAGAAAAAAAAACACAGGAAAGAAATAAAAGTTCAAAGTGAATTTCAGAGGACACTGAAATTTGCTCTTAATTGTAGGGTAGCTAAAGGATGAAGTCAAAGAGCTGAATATAAATGTTAAAGAGCAGTTTGAGAGGACAGAGCCAAATATTATAATGAAATGTGCAAAGATCTAAAACTAGGAAACGGAAAGGGAAGAACATACTTAATATATTACAAACTGAAAGAAATGAAAAAAAATTCCAAACCTTGAGTTGCAATATTGAAAGATTCTACGGGCAAAATATTGAAGCATCAAAGAATATGGAAAGAATACACAGAGTCACTGTACCAAAAAGAACTAGTTGACAATCCATCATTTCAGGAGGTAACATGTGAGCAAGAGTTGATGGTTCTGAAGGAAGTTCATGCTGCACTGAAAGCATTAGCTAAAATCAAACCTTCTGGAATTGATGGAATGCCAATGAACTGTTTCAACAAGCTGATGAAGCACTAGAAGCACTCTCTCATCTATGCCAGGAAATTTGGAAGACAGCTACTCGACCAACTGACGTGAAGAGATCCTTATTTGTACTCATTCCAACGAAAGTTGACTCAAGTGCTCAAATTATAGAATGATATCATTGATATCACATGCAAGTAAAATATTGCTGAAGGACACCTAACAATGATTTCAGCCGTACATTGACAGAGAGCTGTCAGAGATTCAGGATAGATTTAGAAGAGGATGTGGAACAAGGGATATCATTGATGATGACAGATGGATCTTGGCTGAAAGCAGAAAATATCAGAAAGATGTTTACTTGTGTTATATTGGCTTTGTCAATGTATTTGACTGTGTGGATAATAACAAACTAAAGAGAGCCTTGAGAATAATAGGAATTCCAGAATACTTTATAATGCTCTTGTGGAACTTGTACGTCAGTGGTTCTCAACCTTCCTAATGCTGTGACCCTTTAATACAGTTCCTCATGTTGTGGTGAGCCCCCCCAACCATAAAATCATTGTCATTGCTACTTCATAACTGTAATTTTGCTACTGTTATGAATTGGGGGACTTCTGTGAATGGGTCGTTTGACCCCCAAAGGAGTCATGTCCCACAGGTTGAGAACTGCTGTTGTACATGGTTCAAAAGGCAGTTGTGGGAACAGAACAAGGAAATACTGGTTTAAAATTAGGAAAGATATATATCAGGGTTGCAGCAGTTTACCACACGTATCCCATCTGTATGCTGAGCAAATAATCAGATAACTTGCTTCCAATGCAGAAGAAGGTGGCACCTGGATTGGAGGAAGTCTCATTAACAACCTGCAATACGCAGGTGACACAACCTTGCTTGCTGAAAGTGAGGAGGACTTGAAGCCCTTGTTAATGAAAATCAAGGATGGGAGCCTTCAGTATGGATTGCAACTCAATGTAAAGAATACCAAAATCTTCACAATTCGGCTGATAGGTAAATGTAAACACCATGATAAATGGAGAAAGAATTGAAATTTTCTAGGATCTTGTCTTGCCTGGATCCACAGCAAGGTTCATGGAAACTGCAAGCTATCAAAATGAAGGTTGCATTTGGTAACTCTACTGCACAAGCGTTCTTTAGCATAATGAAAAGCAAGTTGTCACCCTGAAGACAGAGGTGACCCTGGCACAGGTCACGGTATTTTTGTTTCTTCAATCATTTTATCGGGGGCTTGTGCGGCTCTTATCGCAATCCACCCATCCATCGTGTCAAGCACATTGTACATTTGTTGCCATCCTCATTTTCAAAATATTTTCTTTCTACTTGAGCCCTTGATATCAGCTCATTTCCCCCCTCTACTCTCCTCACTCTCCCTCCCTCATGTACCTTTGATAACTTATAAATTATGATTATTATTTCATGTCTTACACTGACTGATGTCTTCCTTCACCAACTTTTCTGCTGTCTGTCCTCCTGGGAGGGGGTTATAGGTAGATCATTGTGATCGGTTTCCCCTTACTCCGGTTCCCTTCCCCTTCCCCTCATTACTGGTCCTGAGGGGTTTGCCTGTCCTGGATTCCTGTGTTTCCAGCTCTTATCTGTACCTGTGTACATGCTCTGGTCTAGACGGATTTGTAAGGCAGAATTGGGGTCATGATTGTGTGTGTGTCTGTGTGTGTGAAGCATTAAAGAACTAGAGGAAAGTTGTATGCTTCAGTGGTTCTATACTGCATCCTGACTGGCTCGCCTCTTCCTTGGGACCCTTCTGTAAGGGATGTCCAATTGTGTAAAGATGGGCTTTGGGTCTCCACTCCAACTCCCCCTCATTCACATTGATATGATTTTTTTATTCTGGGTCTTTGATGCCTGATAGCTGATCCCATCGACACCTCGTGATCACACAGGCTGGTGTGCTTCTTCCATGTGGGCTTTGTTGCTTCTCAGCTAGGTGGCCACTTGTTTACCTTCAAGCCTTTAAGACCCCAGATGCTATATCTTTTGATAGCCGGGTACCATCAGCTTTCTTCACCACATTTGCTTATGCACCCGCTTTGCCTTCAGCGATGGTGTTGGGAAGGTGAGCATCATGGGATGCCAGTTTAATAGAACAAAGTAATTTTGTATTGAGGGAGTACTTGAGTAGAGGCCCAATGTCTGTCTGCTACCTTAATACGTAACATATAAATATATTGTGTCAGTCTAAGTAGACTAGAGAAACAAATCGAGGGAGACTTATATGTGTATAAGAAAAAGGTTTGTATACAAGAGCAACTGAATATTGAGAAAACATCCCAGCCCAGTCCAGATTAAGTCCATAATTCTGATATTAGCCTGTATGTTCAATACCAGTCTACAAAGTCTTCTTCAGACTCACGAAACACATGCAATGACCCCCGAATGCAGGAAGATCACAAGCCAGTGGGTTGGAAGGCCAGTGGATTCAGTGACATTGTAAGCATCTCAGCGCTGGCAGGTGTCTCCACCTGGTTCTGTTAGCTCTGAAACTCTGACTGCCTCAGGGTAGCTTCATGTGGCTTCTTCTTAGAAATGTCTCAATGGGAGTGATCACAGAGAGAGTGTGTCTCCCGCATTCAAGGAGGAATTACTGGAGTTCCCAGAATCCTCAGGCCATGCTCACACAGAGGCTTCATTGGCTATGACCCGATTGACAGACTAGACTCCACCCCTTCACTCTTCATCCTCTCAAATCCTAAATTGACACGAGATATATAACTACCACATATATGTACATAAACATATTTCCTTATCATTATATATAAATATATCTACATCTGTACATGTCTGTATTTGGATCTCGATAAATGCCCATTTGCCTCCTAGCTCTTTTCTCTATTTCCTTTTACTTTCCTCTTGTTCCACTATCACGTTTGGCCTTCATTCGAGTTTCCCTAATTCCTCTTGGTTACATTGCCCTTGATCAAGCCCTACCAGGCCTCCTACACCCTCCTCGTCATCTGTTTTAGATCACTTGTTGTTCTCTTGTCCCTGGGTTTGTTAACACCCACTTCCCTCCCCCATCCCCCTCCCAACCTCTCCCTCTCCCACGTCCCCCTGGAACTGTTGGTCCCATTGTTTTCTCCTCCAGATTGTTTATCCCACCTATCTTATCTAGATAGACATGCAGAGACAATAATAAGCACAAAAACAAGAAAGAGAAAAACAAAATAACAAAAGAAAACAAAACCCCCAACAACAACAAACACCAAAAAACAAAACAAACCAAAACAAGCCAGCAACAACAAAAAGCCTATAAATAGTTCCAGGTCTGTTTGTTGACCTTTAGGAGTGTTTTCCAGTCCAGTCTGATGGGGTGCCATGCCCCAGCCCCAAAGTCTATCTTTGGCATTCCCAGGACTTCATTGCTTTGCCCCCCTTGCTGCTGTAAACCACGGTATTTTCAAATGCCTCCAATGCATGTGAAAGTTGAATGAAGAAGACAGATGAAGAATTTATGCATCTGAATTGTGGTGCTGGTGAAGAATATTGAAAATATCACGGACTGCTAAAAGGACAAAGTGATTTGTCTCCGAAGATTTATGTCCAGCGTGCTCCTTAGAGACAAAGATGGTGAGACTTCATCTTACATACTGTGGGCGTGTTGTCAGGAGAGGCCAGGCCCTTGAGAAGAACATGTTTGTTGGAGTGGCAACAAAGGAGGGGAAGGCCCTGAAGGAGATGGATTGACACTGTGGTTGAAACAGTGCACACAAGCACAGGCACAATTATGAGGATGTTGCAGGCATCATTCTGTTGTGCATCAGGTTGCTATGGGTAAGAACCTCAATGGTACCGAATAACAACAAGAACAATTTTTTACAGGAGAAGAAAGACTCATCTTCTCTTGTAGAGCATTTGGCAGTTTTGAACTGCTGATCTTTGGGTTAGCAGTTCAATACATAGCCACTACACTACCAGGGCTCCTAATACTGGTTAAAGAGCTAGTCAAAGCTGGAGCGCTTAAGTAAACTCTCCCAAAGACTCTACCTTTTCACTCAGGCAGTTAGTGCTAATGAGCTCCTGGGGCTTTGAATATAGCACATCTTGACACCACTACCCAAATACTCTATTTGATAGGCAATCACTGGCTTATATATGGTGTGAATAAACACTGAAAGACGAACAAAAACCAGCTTGTGTTGTTTTGTCCTGAAATCTATATCCTGGAAAGGGTTCAAAATGAACCAAAGAACCAACAGAGCGACTATTTCCGAAAGCACTCTCTACTAAATAAACAAGTTATAGCCAGGAAATCAGGTGTCAATGAAGTCTCATAGTTATATGGAAATGGCTGGTCACCCTTGATATGACATTCTCAGGTGCAGGTTCTATGAAAGCACCCTGGGCTTCTTGGGAACCTTGGTTCACTGAGGTTCTGAAGGAGGTCTGGGTCCAGCTCACAGATAGGTCATCTAAGGTAAATGGTCAATAAGTTGATTGAGGCTGCTACAGTTCAGTAGCCCAACACAACAGCTCATGGACAAAGGCACTCTGCTCAATGTGCAAAATTGTGGGCTGTGGACTTGCTTTGGAAAAGACCCCCAAAAGACACCTTGCTATAATTTTACAGATTCCCTCATGGGAACCAACAGGTTGATGGTGTGGTCCAGTGTCTGGCAGCACAGAATATATATTCCTTGTGCATGACTCACGTAAATGCTCACTTGGAGGATAAGCATCAATGGACTCAACAATCATACCACATGTGCTCTGCTGGGATGCAACATGGCACAGGGGATGGTATCCAGCTACAATTCAGGAAGGGTTCCAAAGCAAGCCTGAAAAATATACCTGACCTACCAGCTACAGAGTTGAGAAGCAAAGAGCACTCCAGGTTACATAGCCCTAGAAGGTTACATAGCCCTAGGGAACAGACCTGATCACTCCTAGCAAAAGAGTCTACATAGGTCCCCATTCCTGGTGCAGAAGAGACATGGAGCACATAATTCCAGGACTCTAGACAGACTAGGCTGCATATCTAGACTTCCTAACACATTGTATCAGAAAGTGGTCCCATTAGGGACATTCTCCTGTGCTTCGTGTATCGTCCCAATGAAGCAGGTGCCATTAACAATAAAATAGTATTTTAAAGGATGTTTGGGGGAAAAATAACTGGACAGCAGACACTGAAGACAAGCAGTTTGGACTTTGTATGTGATCATTTCCCAGGGGTACCTCACAATAAAGTAAAATTTAAATAGAATGTTTAGTCTGAGGATCGAGGAGAGCCCCAGAGAGGCCACGAGAGACACAAACTACATAATTAATCCTCCTGCTTTTTTCCTTATGGGTATATCCATAGGAAACTGGGCTACTGTAATTGGTAAGTAGCAAAGAAAGCTGGGACACGGGGAACTCTCACCTGGTGCTTCTTTGATCACCTAGCTATACTTGCTGGAGGAAACCCTGATGACATAATGGTTATGCAATGCGCTGTGACACAAGGTTAACAATTCGAAACCACTCACTAGCTCTGAGGGGAAAGACAAGGATTTCTATTCCCGTAGAGCATTACAGTCTCAGAAACTCACAGAGGAAGGTCTACCCTGCCCTACAGGGTTGCTATGAGTCAGAATTGACTCACTGACAGTGGGTTTGGTTTGGCTTTATACTTGTTGGATATAGGCAGTTATGAATCTTGATGATAATGATTATGCATGCAAGGGGACAACCGTTGGGCTGTCCTAGTATAGCCTGCATATCAGGGGTGGAAGATGGCCTAGGATAATACTAGGCTTATAAAAAGAAACAACTGAGTTACCAGGGTGTATGATATGGGTCAGATATGGGTCAGACATGGCTAAGACTGAAAAAAGTGATTGTGGCAATCACTGGTCATACATGCATAACTGGGCATGTAGAACAACCAACCCAGCTTTGGGAAGGTCAGGGTTTGAAAGAGAGACCATCAATCTCCTTTGACTCTCATTTGTAAGGCACCTGGCCAGTTAAACCCATACTATCACTATCCTCCGCAGTTTAACAAAATTTTTAATTTAAGAATTCTCAGAAACCTCCTAGGAGCTACTTCCTCCAAGTAGCCTCTACAAATGAGATAGTAAAATAAGATGAACTTTCTGATCCCCTGTGACATCATTCTATTGTTGTTATTGTTAGGTGCCGTCGAGTCAGTTCCAACTCATGGCAACCTTATGCACAACAGAATGAAATACTGCCTGGTCATATGCCATTCTCACATTGTTTCTTTAATGCGTGAGCCCATTGGTGCAGCCACTCTGTCAATCCATCTTGTCAAAGGCCTTTCCCCCCTGTCCTGCCATTTTACTAAGCATGCTGCCCTTCTCCAGGGACTGGTCTCTCCTGATAACATGTCCAAAGTACGTGAGATGAGTCTCTCCATCCTTGCCTCTAAGGAGCATTCTAGCTATACTTCTTCCAAGGCAGATTTATTTTTCTTTTGGCACGGTACTTCCAATATTCTTTGCCAGCACCATCATTAAAATGCACAGGGTTTCTTTTGGTCTTCCTTAAGGTTCCACTTTCATACGCATAAGAGGCGATTGAAAGTACCATGACTCGGGGCCAGTGCACCTTAGTCCTTGATTTTGAACACTTTAAAGAGGCCTTGTGCAGCATATTTACCCAATGCAACACATTGCTCGATCTCCTGACTGCTGCTTCCATGAGCATTGAGTGTAGATACAAGCAAGGCAAAATACTCCACAACATCAGTCTTTTATTATACTGTGACCTATTGGTCCAGTTGTATGGATGTTGGTTTTCTTTACACTGAGTTGTAAACCTTACTGAAAGCTGCAGTCCTTGATCTTCATCAGCAAGTGCTTCAGTCCTCCTCACTTTCAGCAAGCAAGCTTGTGTCATCTGCATGTTGCAGGCGGTTAATAAACCTTCCTCCAATCCTGATGTTGCACTCTTCTTCATATAATTGAGCTCCTCTGACGATTTGCTCAGGATTCATATTGAATAAGTATGGTGAGAAGATGCAACCCTGACACATATCTTTCCTGATTTTAAACCATGTAGCACTCCATTGTTCTGTTTTCACAGCTGCCTCTTGATCCATGTGCAAGTTCCTCATGAGCACAATGCAGTGTGCTCAAATTCCCATTCTCAAGGCTATCCATAGTTTGTTATGTTTCCAATGCCTTAGTATGATTAATAAAGCACGAGTAGGCATCTTTCTGGCATTCTCTGCTTTCAGTCAAGATCCAGTTCACAACAACAATGGTATCCTTTGTTCCACAACCCTTCTGAATATAGACTATTAACAACTGCTTTACTCTTACAGACTATAATAACTGCATCTATTATAAAATAGTACCCCTATCATGTTCCACTTGACCTTATTAACAAAAACTTAATAAAATTAGGCCCTGATCCCACATTGGCAAAATGTTTTTGCCAAGGATTCTACAATATTTATGTGAACATTAGGTGTGTCACACACAAACTAGTCTAAACTTTCTAGAATCAATGATGATAAACAATTGCCTTGCCCTGGACTACCTGTTGGTCACTTGAGGTGCAGTATGTGTTGCTTTGAGCACTTCTTGGTATACTAGTCTAAACTGGTTGGCTCCATATAGGGAGCCTGCTGTGGACTATCTTCCCACTGAGCTGGATCACCCAACTGAGAGTTACAGTCACAGTCATAATCACACCTAAGACAAACAGAACAGACCCAGTGGAAGACTCCATTAGTACAATTAAAGTATCTGATAGAGTGGCCAATATTTTTGAAAGAGAATTCTTAGTTGGATATGTGAAAAGTCAGGGATGGAGTTGTAGAGGAATAACTCTACCATGCTCCCTACATATCCACATAGGCGTAGCTGCCACTGACAAAGTCTTGGCAGAACACCCTGTAATCCTTCCCAAATCTGAGAGCAGCCCAGGGCACTTGTTAATAAATACGATAGGATCATTTCTCATTCACATCCCAATCTTCCAGAGAAGATACCATGAGGCATGTCTCACAGTCTCCTTGGTTTGGATCTGATTAGCTATGAGGCTTTTTGTCTCACATTACCTCTCTAATCCTTTGGGTATAATTTCAGGCTAAAAACTACTTAGCTGAAGTGTAGCATGGACTCTTCAGCAACAGAATGCTACTATGTGTATTGCAGTCCTCTGACCCCTTTTATTTTGGCTTCATCCATAGCACAGAAAAATGGAGACTTGGTATGTTTGACAACTGTTTTCATTGTCTGCGTAAGGAATAACCTGTCAAGCTCTCATCATTACCCTGCTGGCTGAATGTCAGCCTTGCCTTGAATGCACACAAGGGGGCCACCTACCTTGTTTTTAATGGTCATTTGCAGCACTTTGGCCTTTTCTGCCACTGAACAGGCAGATTTAGAATAATAATAACTAAAAAAATAACATTGATTTTTTACAAATAAAGTACCAATGTAAAAAAATGTCTTATTTGCCTTCAAAAACTTACCTTTTTGTTTGCATATCTTTCTCTCGTGACTTCAAAATGAATGAAAATGTTTCCATGAATTTTAAGTAGTTCTGGGGAGTGTTATAATAATACCTTCCAGTTTCTTGAAAGAATTTTATGCCCAATTCTGATATACTTCTGTGGATTTGGACACATGTGTAGGCAAGTTTTTCTTTTATATCCTGAAAAAAATGTTTTAAGAATTAAAACAATCCAAATATTCATTAAGAAAATCAAGGGAGTCAAGATGGTGTCCAGTAGGCACACCTACTGTTAGAACAGACAATTAAGAGGTAAGGAGGCCAATACTGGGAGGCTGGGTGCTAAAAATAGACTCAGCCTACTAGGGTCTGGTTTTGTCCTCCCCCTTTGATTTGCATCCACGAAGAGATTCCAGAACTCACGGCAATGCTTTAAGTTCACGGCGTCTACCTGCAGGATCCATGAACCCCTTACCAGGCCCAGCAGGACTGTGTTTTCCATCCCTTCCTGCGCTCTAGACATGAAGCAAAAGTAATTTCCCCACACTGCGGTCTAAAAGTGGTCATACCTTAGCCTGGTACCCGAAGCCTTGAGGGTAACATACCGCCATGAAACTGAACTAACAGGTCTTCAGGACTGGGTCTTATCCCAGATATATCAATCCCTTTCCCCAGAAGAATGCACTACAAAAAGACAGCACTGAAGATACAGCCCAGGGAGTATGATAGATCTGCCCAGACCACAGGGGAACAAACTAAGAGGGAAAGAGAGAGATAGAGTGGATAGCATCCTGACTCACCAAGCTTCAAGGACAATGTCCCGCTTGGAGCACCCAATGCACAGAGAGGACTGTAGGGTTGGCCTCCCCATGAGACATGACCCACAGTGCGATGGGGGACAGCACTAGAGACATAGTGTGAGAATTGTGCTAGTCTGACTCCCCTCCCCCTACTAGGGCATAACACGCAGGGAGCTCAACAGAGGAGCAAGGGGAGCAAAGCAACCAAGGGCTTGGCACTACATCAGACACCAATCAGAAAACATTTCTAACGGTCAGCAGACAGACCTGGAACTTGTCATTGGGGATTTTTTTGTTTTTATTTTTTTCCACATCTATCTATATAAGATATGCAGAATAAACAATCCTGAGGAGAAAGCAAGGGAACCAACAGTTCCAGGGGGACAGGGAAGAGGAGGCGGAGAAGGAAAAGGAAAGAAGAGCCAAAAAACCCAGGGACAAGGGAACAACAAGAGATCTAAAATTGATGGCGAGGAGGGCACAGAACGCCTGGTGGGTTTCGATCAAGTGCAACATAGCCAAGAGGAAGTACACAGAGCCGAATGAAGGTCGAACATGATAATGGGCCAGGAGGAAAGTAAAAAGAAATAAAGGAAGAACTAGGAATCACAAGACATTTATAGAGGTATAACCATAGGCATAAACATTTATAGAGGTATAAACATTTATATATTTACACATGTAAATATATTAATATATAATGATAGGGATACAGGTCTATGTACATATTTTTATAGGTTAAGTATTAAGGTAACAGATGGACATTGATCCTCTACTCAAGTCCTCCCTCAACACAAGAACACTTTGTTCTAATAACCTGGTATTCTGTGATGCTCACCTTCCTGATGCAATTGCTGAAAACTAAATGGGTACATAAGCAAATGTGGTGAAGAAAGCTGATGGTGCCCAGCTATTAAAAGATATAGTATCTGGGGTCTTAAAGGTTTGAAGTTAAATAGGCATCCAGCTATCAGGGAAGCAACCAAGCCCACATGCAAAAAGCACACCAATCTGTGTGATCACAAGGTGTCTATGGCATCAGGTATCAGGCATCAGAAGACCCAAGACAAACAACCATTTAGATGTGAATGAGGTGGGTAGGAATGGAGACCCAAAGCCCATCTGTAGACAATTGGATATCCCCTTACAGAAGGGTCACAAATAGCCAGCCAAGTGCAGTTGCACCAACAAAACACACAACATTCCTCTAGTTCTTTAATACTTCCTCCTGCCCCACTATCATGACCCCAGTTATCTTACAACTCTGGCTAGACCAGAGCATGTACAATAGTGCATATTAGAACTCTTGACACATAGAGTCCAGGACAGATAAAGCCCTTAGAACCAATATTGAGAGTAGTGATACCATGAGGATAGAGGGAAGGTGGGGGGAGAAGAGGGAGAAAGGGGAAACCAATCTCAATGATTGATGTACAGTCCTCCCCGCCCCCCCACCAAAGGTGATAAAAAACAGAAATGTGGGTGAGGGGAGATAGCAGATGGTGCTAAATATGAAAATGAAAATAATTTATAAATTATCGAGAGTTCACGAGGGTGAGAGGGTGGGGGAGGAAGGGAGAAAATGGGGAGCTAAAAAAAACCAAGTTGTTGTTATCCCAGTTTCGCAGAGAGCATCTGAGAGCTAGTCACAAGACCTCTCACCAGAGTTCTCCTCACTGCTATCCACCCTGTGCCTGCAGTCTAGGGCTTTGTGACACCCCTCCCAGTCAGGAACAGAGTGACTACATCAGCCATCCCCTTTCCGCCTCTTCCCAGCAGTTGTGGGTAAGGATAGATAATTAGACAATGATTTGTAGTAATTGAGTTGTCACTGGGATATTTACCTGTGATAGCATGTAGTTCCCCAGAGCAAAACTGGATAGAACTGGGAGTGACACAGGAGTGCAAACAGGGGTGAATTCAAATCCACTCGGCCCTAAACCCACTCCACTAAGCTGTTCCCTGGGGGACAGCTCGACACAGACCAGATAGCAAGGCACCCCACAAGTCCATTATGAAAAGGAAAAAACAATACCAACAATGTTGTGGTGGTTACACAATCTGTCGTCAATTTGAGAGGATTAAGAGTGAAGGAGTGGAGTTTAGCCTGTTAATCAGGTTGTAGCTTGATAACTTCATGTGGAGGTGCTAAGGAGATAAACAGCTTACTGGAAGTGGGACACATGCTCAGTCCCTGCTAGACATTCTTGTTGACAAGTCACACGGTGACAGGCTGATGGCAGCCAGAGCTTTGGACCTGGAGAAGCCTTGTGGAGACCCCTGCCAGCACTGAGATGCTTGCACCACCACTGGATCCACAAGACTTTCCACCCACAGGCCTGTGATTGTCCTGCATTCAGGGACATTGCATGTGTTTCATGAGCCTGAAGAGGAATTTATAGATTGGTATCGGACATATGGGCAAATATTAGATTTATGGACTTGATCTGGACTGGGGTGGGATGTACTCTTATTATTCAATTGTTTTTGTATGTAAGGCTCTTTCTTATACACATATGAACATCTATGAATTTGTTTCTCTAGTTAACCCAGACTAACACAAATGCCTTCAATTCCAGGCTGTGGTCCTTTATGTAACTTTGAAGGTTACATAAGCCAACAGACTTCTGTCCATTAACATAACACAACAAAGTATCCATACACTATTCTCCAGAGCACAGTGTAGGATTTTAGCAGAACAAAAAGGGAAAAACAAACAGGTGCTGATAGCCACACCCCAAGGCAAACTAGTGGCTCGACCAGTTTTGGGCTCCACAGAGTGTCTTTAAAAGGCTGAAAATTGTGGCTTGACAGTCCAGACCAGCCCCATGCTCATGCTGCAGCCTCGTCCCAAGCAGCCAGTGGCATACACCTGCCTCAGTCCAGACTCTGAGGCCCCCCCACTGATGATGGCCACTGAATCGCCATGCCACCCTGCCTACATAGCAGTCTGACTCACCACCAGAGTAGGCCACAGAGAGTCCTCAAAAACACTCTTATCAGTCACACAGAGAAAGAACTCAGGCCCCTTGATCACGCAGAAACATGGCGCCCAGTTCTTCCAAAGTGACATGCAAACAGCAGCCTACCTCAACACCCTCAAGAAGAAAATCAAAATGCAACAGCACAGGAAATCGTAAATCTAATGGCGCTCATAATAGAATCAAATGTAGATCTGACACAAAAGGAAATCTTCAGAATGCTGCTTGGAGCAATACATGATATGAGAGAAGCAACACAGAGTAAAGACGCAATGATAGAGGAGATGAATTCCACGATACAGGGGATGAAGTCCACACACCAAAGGGACCACCACCAAAGTCCATGCACCAAATACAAGAACTAATGAATGACTTAACAGAAGCAAAACACATGATCATGGACCTAACCAATAGACTAGAAGAGGTGGAGAATTGTACCAGTGATCTTAAGGACAATCAGGCAGAATTCAACAAACGGGAAAGACTGAAACAAGATAATCCAAGAGGCAGAAGAAAACCTGAGATCAATGACAGATGCTATGCAAAGGCACAGATGCTATGCAAAGGAATATTCGAGTAATTGGTCTACCAGAACAAGACACAAGGAAGAAGTCAACAGTGAAATTAGTGAGGGAATTTCTGGAAGCAAACTTCCCCACTTTAATGAATGAGAATCAGACACTTATACAGGAAGCAGAGAGGACACCAATTAGAATTCACCAAGGGACCTAAGAGTTAAATTATCCAACTTCAAAGAAAAAGAGAAAACATTAAGAGGAGCAAGAAAAAAAGAAACCCAGCCACATACAATGGTGCTTAGGAAGGAATATGCTTAGACCTATCAGCAGATACTATAAAGAAGAGGAGAGTGTGGAGTAACACCATCCACAAACAAAGAAGAAAAAAAAAGCCAACCTGAGAATCTTCTACTCTGCCAAAGTATCTATTAAGATAGATAGCAAGGTAAGAGTCTTCCAGGACAAAGAAAAACTAAAAGAATATGCCATAAGATACCCAACCATGTGTAAAATCTTTGCTGACTCACTATGGTCAGAAGATCAAAATCCATGAAGCACAAGCAGGGGACCACCATATAGCCCAACTCCACCTAGAAACCAACATGCCAAAAACAATTACCAAGATAACATGGTCTCAGAGGATAAAGAAGACAAGAATGAAGCCCCCCACACAAACAGAGCACACTGATATGAATGGAGATAGGAAAACACCCAACACAACAGGTACAAGATGACAGCAATGAATCCACAGGTGAGAACTCTGAATGTCAATGGCCTCAACTTTCCCATTAAAATACAAAGGGTAGCAGGACCCTACTACAGGAAATCAAAAGCGACCTCCACAAATGGAAGAATATCCCATGCTCATGGGTTGGAAGACACAATATAGTAAAGATGGCAATCTTAACCAAGGCACTACATAAGTTTAATGCTATCCCCAAATCAAATACCAACAACCTTCTTCAAATAATTGGAAAAAGTGACCACCAATTTCATATGGACAGGGAAGAAGCTCAGAATTAGCAGAGACCTCCTCAAGAAGAAGGACAAACTCAGAGGGCTTGCTTTACCTGACTTTAACACCTACTACACAGGCATAGTGATCATAGCATCATGGCACTGGAATAATGACAGATACTCAGACCAATGGAAAAGAACAGAAAACTCAAAAAAAAACCCCAAAAAACCCCATTAGTATGTAGATAACTCATCTTCGACAAGGGCCCAGAAAGCATCAAGTGGGAGGTAGATTCCCTCTTTCACAATGGTGCTGGAAATAATGGATATGCACCTGTAGGAAAATGAAACATGACCCTTACCTCACCCTATGTACAACAACAAACTCGAGGTAGATCACACACCTAGAAGCAAACCCCCAAACTATCAGGACCATCAATGAAGGATTCAGGACAAACCTAAGAAACTTGGTTCAGGGAATCCATAGGCTAACTGAAATAGGGCAGGATACATATATAGGTAAACCTGAAATCGATAAATGGGATATACTAAAGATAAAACACTTGTGTGTGGTGAAAGACTTCCCAAGAGAATCCACAAACTGAGAGAAGACTCTTAGCAATGACACAACAGATTAAGGGTTTATTACTAAAATCTTCAATACTCTCCTAGCCTGCAGAAAGAGGAAAAAAGTTAGCCTGCTGAGGAAGTAGGTGAAAGACCTGCCAGTGTCTTAGTCTGGGTTGACTAGAGAAACAAAGCCATAGACACTCATATGTGTTTATAAAAGAGCTTTATATAAGAGAGAAATTGTATTTTGAAAAAACATCACAGCCCAGTCCAGATTAAGTTCATAAGTCCAATATTAGCCCATATGTTCAATAACAATCTTTAAATTCCTATTTATACTCATGCAACACATGCAATGATGCTGAATGCAGGAAGAGCACAGGCTAGAAGGTGGAAAGTCTTGTGGAGCCAGGGGTGGTGTAAGCATCTCAGTGCTGACAGGGGTCTCCACGTGGCTCCTTCAGCTCCAGGGCTCTAGTGTAGCTCCACGTGTCTAGTCAGCAGGAAGTTGAAGCAGAGAGTCTGTGTATATGGCCTCCAGTGAGATATTTATCTCTATGGCGTCTCCAAATGAGGTCATCAAGCTGTGGCCTGATTGACAGGCTAGACTTCACCCCTTTGCAAGTTGACACCAGATTATGTAACTACCACAGGAGGAGACCCAAATGGCCAATAAACATTTGAGTAAATGCTCCTGATCATTAGCTATCAGAGAAATGCAAGTTAGAACAACCATGAGATACTACCTAATACCCTTGAGGATACCCCAAATCAGAAAATCAGAGAGCAACACATGTTGGAGGGGAGGTGGTGAGACAGGAACTCTCCTCCACTGCTGGTTGTCATGTAGATACATACAGCCTCTGTGGAAAGCAATCTGGCGATATTTAAAGCAAATGGAAATTCAGCTTCCCTATGACCCAGCTATCCCTCTATTGGACATAGATCCAGAAGAGGTATGAAATAAACCATGACCAATTGTCTGCACTCCACTGTTTATTACAGTGCAATTCACAATGGCAAAGAGTGGGAAACAATCTAAATATTCATTCGATAGACGAGTGGATTAGAACACTCTGGCATATACACACAATGGAGTACTATGCATCACTTAAAAGCATTGATGATCAAATGAAGCACATCATCTCATGGGAAGAGTTAGAAGAAATTAAGCTCAGTGAATTTAGCCAGTCACAAAAGGTCAAGTACAACATGAGTCCCCTGAGATAGGTATGGAAATCAAACTCAGAGAGAAAGCAACTGAATGATGGTTCTAGAGTGGCTTGGTGGGTGGAGGATGTTGGGGAAGGGAGCTGTGAGCAGACAATGCCACAGACAGGGGAACAACTAGGGAATTAAAGTCAACAATCAGGAGGACTTAAGAGATCCTGGGGGTGTTTTAGCAACATCGATCTAGCTGACAGGAATTACGAAGAGGCAGAAGAAGGGCAAAAATGATGGTGGGTCAGGAGGATCATAAAAGGAAACAGAGGAAAGATCTAGGAAGCAAAGCTATGGATAGAGGTATAAGCATAGGTATGTACATATGTAAATACATTAACTCATAATAAAAGAGGCATTGGCCTAGGTACAAACATTTATATGGCAATACACTGAGGTAGTGGATAGACTTTGGGCCTCTGTTCAACTCCTGTTTCAATGCAAGTACACTTAGTTCCAACAGCCTGGCATTCTGTGATGCTCACCCTCCCAACATGATCACTGAAGACAAAAATGAGTGCATAAACAAATGTGGTGAAGAAAGTGGATGGTGCTCAGCTTTCAAAATATATAGAATCTGGGGCCTTAAAGGGTTGAAGTTAAACAAGCCGCCATCTAGCTTTTGTAGCCAAGCCAGAGCAAATGACAAATTCATATACCAAAGATTGCAGCATCCTCACAACAGGATGCGGGATACAAAAGGGGGGTTGTTTTTCTTCCTGGGTATCTGTGGTTCCATACGATGGCAGAGTAGTGAAGAGACCAGATGCAGTGATGCATCTTTGTTTGTTCGAAACAGGGTGTTAAAGAAAGAAAGAGCTGGGAAGTCAGAGAATTGATGAGTAGTCAAGACAAATGCTTGATCTGTTTAATCATTTTGACCAGTATCCTTAGTTATTGTGAGTTGATTCTGACTCATCGCGACCCCAGGTATACAGAGTAGAACTCATTCATAGGGATTTTAAAGCTGTGACTTTTTGGAAGCAGCTCACCAGACTTGTCTTCCAAAGCACCTCTGGATAGGTTAGAACTGACAACCTTTTGGCTCGTAGTTGAGCACTTAACCGTGGCTGCCCATGTAATTCATCTAGGGTTCACTGCCATTCAGAGACATACTATTGTCAGATGATAGTTTTTGTTAAAAATATATATATCTCAATAAATCTCCCCTCCAACAGTTTTACTGACACATAATTTACATATCATACAATTCAACAGTTCAATCATTCAATCATATCAAGGGCCATTAAACAGTCACCACCACATCAATCTTAGAGCATCCCCTTCCCCATTGGATAAATCACCTTTAACATAAGCTATGCAATCACAATCAGTTCTAGTACTCCCCCCCCCCGCGTACTGCATTCATTATTTACTCCACAAATCCCCTTTCCCTTCCTATCGCCACCCCCACCTGTATTCCCTATAACCCCTTGTGCTAGTTATTCTCATGTACCCACTTCTCCTGTGCTTCACAGCTGGGGAACTCAACAGAAAACAATAAAAAACAAAATCATACTAAGGTGGTAAGGCTAAAATCATAATAGTATAAAGACAAAAATACAAAGAGTGCATAAGAAGAGAAAGATCCCCCCATCAACTTTCAAAAGGGCATGGAGGGCATTTCTGTCAAGGAACAAGCGAGAGATACTTGCCCCAGTACACATTCAGTTCATGTCTGTAGGGGAGTCAATTGCCCAAGCATTGAGTTTGATCTTGCATGATCAAGATTACAATGGTCCGCCTGATAGTAAGGCTGTTCGAGACTTTAATAAATTGATCCCTTCACTTGCAGGCGCCTTTAAAAAAGAGGTCAAGTTTACCTTTCTGTTCTTCAAGTTAACCTTTTCTGTTAAGAAAGAATTGGCTACAATAAGGAGGGCTTCTTCTGGCCACTTCTCATACAAATTGATTGTGCAGGAAGTAATTAAAGAAGGAAATGTTCTACAAGTCTGGCGAAAATTAGGTTCTTCAGGATTCATAGTCATAAAAATATGAAGATTTTTATGTATTCTCTGAAAATTAATGAAAATTTAAATTGTTAAAACATATTCCACTGCTTTGAAAAGCTATATCACATTGAAAATTTAATTAAAAATTGGTTTCAATTCTTTTCTTACTGAATAGACCAGAGGCAGATCAATTGTGAATTGAACCCCTTACATAAATGGAGTCCTTTTAATGGAAACAACTGAGCCTACAGAGCTCTTCCGAGGAAAGCAATCCTGGTCTGTTCCAGGTGACCCCACACTGGTTCAACTGGTTGGGATGGCACCTGACCAATACCATCCCTTATATAAACCAACTCTTATAAAAACCAACTCTGTGTACAATAGAGACCTTATATCAGAATGTAAGAGATTGACTATTTAGCTCTTCCTCTGGGATATTTTTAAGACCCACAGAAGCTCAAAGTGAGAAAAAAAAAAGCAGGGAAGCTTAGAGCTACAAGATAATAGGAGTAAAACAGCAAATAATATATTAATAAAGCACAACTCTTTAAAAATTTTATTGAAGTATTACTGTTCATTTAAAAATCCACATAATACACAAGTGTTTAAAGTAAAACTGTTCATGGTGGAGGGGGGAGCGGGGAGGAAGGGGAAAAATGAGGAGCTGATACCAAGGGCTCAAGTAGAAAGCAAATGTTTTGAGAATGATGATGGCAACATATGTACAAATGTGCTTGACACAACGGATGGATGTATGGATTGTGGTAAGAGTTGTATGAGCTCCCAATAAAATGATTAAAAAAATAATGTGGATAGTTCATATCTAAAAATACTGTAAAGGCATACTTCAATATAAATGTCTAGTTAATGGAATCAAGAGCATCTTTTCTGTGATAGTATATAGAATATTGCTTATATAGAGTCTGTGGGCACAATAATGTCTTTTGCTCTAAAAAAAAAAAAGTAAAATTGAAAATACCTCTCTTTGCTTCATTCATCATCATACATTTACCTGGGAATATCTAATATTAGCTAGTTTAAAATGTGCTTAGCTATTTATTTTTACTGTATGACAATTCAAATATTTCTTAGAATTATGATATACATTACATTAAATAAGGAAATAACTAATTAAAATAGATTTTTAGTTGGGGTTCTTGATTTTGTTTTTATTTCTGGAATGTACTATTCTTCACACATCAACATGTTTTTCTTTGTTCTTCCTTATTATTGATTATCCATAACTAGATAAACCAGCTATGAAATAGTACATCAGCATTCCATAAATTATCAGGATAACTGTTCCCAGTTTTTTAATGTGGCATTTAAAACTAAAACACAATCCAAACCACTCACATCATATTGTTTTCTCTCAATTGGGGATTCAATTTCTGGAAGTTTTTACAAGTTCTTTTGCAAGATTACTAAGAATATGTTGAAGAACGGGGAGTGGCCCACTTCAATTCTCAACTGACCCCATGAGTGGCAAAATTTGGTACCCAAAATAAGTGGCATAGTGACACTCTCCCAGTGAACATTTTGACCATCAGTAGGTGTCATTCTACCGTAGTCTGAATGAGAGACACAGAAAGGTGAGTTCATCGGTCTAGACTACATCTAGCATTCAAATCAATTCTTTCACAGCCACACAACTGCGGAGTTCATTCCAAATATTTCCTGCTGTATCTTTCTGTATTTACACCTCCTCATCAATTCTAGGGTGATTCAAAGTGATGGAAAAAATTCTTGTTATGTGCCTTTCTTGAGTGAAATGAAAACCACTTTAGCTTGGAAGAGATCGAAATGCAAGACATAATCTTGGGAATTGACTTCTCATTTCATTGCCTCCAGCTCTTTTTGTTTCTCTTTAAACTAAGCTGGCAAGGCTCAGACCCTTGTTAAAATGTATGTGTCTGTCTGTGAGGTGGTGGTCATGTTTTAGTCTTATACATTCATTCAAAGATGGAAATTATATCATACTGGAAAATCATGTACACAGCTCTTAATGTAGTCTACTTTTAATTTAACAATATTTTAATAAAGTCAACCGAAAAGAAGTACCTTTTGGAGGAATGAAAATAAAGCTTCTTTACTATTATCTATGTAACCAGTCTGTTCAGCAAGAGATCTAATCCTTTGCATAATAGAATCCAGCTCTTCATTTTCAAACAAGTCAGGTATTTTTCCTGAATTCAAAATGTAATTCAAATCTTCCAATAGTTTCTCCTTAGGTGAAACATATATTTAATTAGGAATTAGTAAACTTTTCACATAGTCTACTGTAAACACACCAAACCGAGGAAGAAATAGTGATGAAAGAAAACTAAAACTAATTATTAAAATGCTAGCATTCTCTTAGTTCAAACCCATTGTGTTAGTCTGGGTAAACTAGGGAAACAAATCCACAGAAACTTATATATATATATGAGTTTTATATACAGGGTAAGCATGCATTAAGAAAGCATCCCAACCCAGTGCTGTCCAAGCCCATAAGTTCAACATTAACCTGTATGTCCAATACTGATCTACAAAGTCTTCCTCAATCTCACAAAACACATGCAACGATGCTGACTGCAGGAGGAAAGCCGAATCAGTGAGCATGTAAGCATCTCAGTGCTGGCATGGGCCTCCAGATGGCTGCCCCAGCATCCAGGGCTGCATCGGGGTAGGTTCATGTGGCTTCTCCTCAGGGATGTCTTGCAGGAAGTGAGCCTTTCCAGGTGAAGCAGGGAACTGGCTAAGGCAGTTGCACCTTGGTCTGACCATCAGAAAGCAAGAGACCTGAGAACTAGAAAGGCAAGGCTCACCAAGCCATTTATTTCTCTGCCCTTCAATTAACCCACATGTGATTATCGGCCAGGTTGGCACAATAAACCTTAACTATCTCACCCATTAAGCTTATTTTTTCTCAGTCAAAATAAGCTTCATTCAAATATCAGACAATATCTATTGAATAGTACAGCATTCAGAACACGATGTTAAGCATTTGGCAAGAAGTATGGAGAGGTGGGTTCATTGACACATGGGGTTGATCTTGATCCCAAGCAGTTAATAAGTCCCCAATGCATACACTGCTTGTGTGTTTGTACTGGTAAACAAACTAGAAATAACATGGTTGAGGGGTTATTTTAATTTAATGAAATTTAATCTCTATAAAATGTTCCAGTGTTAATGAGAAATATGACAGAAGATACAGAGCAGTAAATAAAACTCTACCAGAGGAATTATTATGAAAGTATGAGTCTCTTGCTTTAGAGAGTAACCCAAACATTCTTAAACACATACAAAAAAGCAGTAGCACTTCCTATCCCTCAGGACATTCAATGAGCACTGCTCAGATAGTTCCGTGTTCATGGCATTTCACTAAGAAGAGCAGTTTACAGTAGAGGTCAACAGAGGTGACATCGGCTTGCTAACTTCCTGTGTCATCCATGACACGAAGGATCTGTAATGCCTACCAAACATTATGATTATAGAGATTTCACTCTTTTTAATTTACATGGAAGTAATAATTATAACCAAAGACTACCTGGAAAGTGTTTAAATTAAGTCCAATGCTCTTGTTGTTGTTGTTAATTAGACATTTTACTGTAAATTGGATGAAGGTAGTAAAGAACAGATCACCAAGTTTTGCATTAAAACAATTATACACATTTTGTTTCACTGCATTTATTGCAATCCTCCTAATGTGCAACATCACGTAACCCACTTCCTTCTGTTTTCTTTTCTACTTTCTTACTCTTCTGTATTTTGCTCCTGGTAAATGTTGTCCTTTGGATCTTAAGCAGTTGAAGTCATTAGTGAGATTGTCCCCCTTCCAGGAACCTATAATCTCCTGATAAAGGTTCCTCTATGGTTTGGTTGAAAATGTAACAGGAGGGGTGCGTTCCGTTTCAGATCTGAAGAGTGACAAAGGGCCATTGTCTCTTGGGTACCCCTAGTCTCTACTTGACGAATGATCTCTGTCTCTCTTAAGATTCTGGATTTTGTTCCACATTTTTTCCCCACACTCTATCCAGGACATTCTAATGTGATTCCTTTTCTGAGCAGTTGGTAGTGGTAGCTGGGATGCATCTAGTTCTGGTCTTAGGGTTGTGGAGAGTGATGTTTGCTTGGTCACTTAGACTATTGGACTGGTTGTTTCCATATGTCTTTGCTTTTCATCACTCTTCTTTCCTCTAGACAGAGAGAGACCTTAGATGGTCACTCATGAGTTTTAAAGACCCCATTTGCTTCTCACTAAAGGAGGAGGTAGAACCCTGTCCTCTGTTATGCCAGTTGAACTAGGTGTTCCCTGAAACTATGGTCCTGAGTCCCAGGTCCAGTGAATCATTTCCTCAGGGTGCTTTGTATGTATGAGAAGTTTGCATCACTTTTCCCCCTGTAAACTCTACCACGTTAATGGATATATTTGCAGCAAAGGTAAATATCCATGTACAAATATCTTCTGTCAAAACCATATTTATGTGTGAGTGTACTCCCTTCCACATGCATACAGCCTGCATTTACTCATTAGATCACCATTATTGCAGGATCAATTAGAAGATCTTCAGCTACTGAGATAGTAATATTTATTATGCCAACCTGGCCAATAACACATGTGGGGTTAATTGAAGGGCGGAGGGATACATGGCTTGGTGAGCCTCGCCTTTCTAGTTCTCAGGTCTCTTGCTTTCTGATGGTTGGACCAGGGTGCAGCTGCCTTAGCCAGTTCCCTGCTTCAGCTTGTAAGGCTCACTTCCTGAAAGACATCCCCGAGGAGAAGGCGCATGGACCTACCCTGATGCAGCCCTGGGGGCTGGAGCAGCCGTGTGGAGACCCCTGCCAGCGCTGAGATGCTTACACGTTCACTGATTCGGCTTTCCTCCTGCAGTTGGCATCATTGCATGTGTTTTGTAAGATGGAGGAGGACTTTGTGGATTGGTGTGGGACATATGGGTTAATGTTGGCCTTGGGGGCTTGGGTAGCACTGGGTTGGGATGTTTTCTTGATGTGCACTTACCCTTTATATAAGTCTCTCTTGTACATATGAGTTTCTGTGTATTTGTTTCTCTAAAGTACCCAGACTAACACAGATACTGAATAACAGGGAGTCAAGGAGTCATTTTTGACTCAATTTTAATTAATTAATTAATCCTGGGTTCCTAAAAAATTATTTATTAAATTTGAATAATGAGCTCTTCACATGGAAGCCACTGTATCTTCTGTAATCCAGAAACCTCAACCTGATCATCAGATCAAAATATTCAATTCTGGGGCAGAAGAAAATATAATGGAAGAAACCCCCCCCCAAAACTAGATATAAAGGAGTATAGCAGAAATGTCATTGTACCTAGATTTACTCTCAAAATCTGCCATGGACAACAAAAAGCACACAAACAAAAGAACTCATAACTCTAGGGAGAGACAGTAAATATTAGGTAAAACAAAACAAAAACAAAAACACCAGGATGAGAGTTAGAAACAGTACTCATAACTCAACATTTTCATAAACACTTCTTGGCCACAGATTATAATCAATATTCCCTTGACATTTTGCCACCAAGAAGCAAATGTGATTTGAGATGGTGGTTTTCTTAATTGTGTTTGGCTGTGGAAAATTTAAGTGATACAAAATAACATCTAATAAAAATGGCGGGTGATTAGTATTTTTTGCTTGGTGTAAAGAAAATATATCCTGCAAAGGAAGTCCGAAATCTGACATTAGGAAGAGAAAGAAGAAAGAAGGGGAGAAACAGAAGGCTCGGTGCTATGAGAGCACTACAGGTTACATGGTCCAACAGTGGTGTCCAATGATAGTTTAAAATTTATTTAGATATAAGGATTAAAAAACTATTTCTGATATAAAATAATTGACTTCAGATACCTAGATAAATTGCTTCTAATTCATTAATTAAAATGAAAACGACAAAGACAGGAGAAGGCTTATGTTGCAATGCTTATGCAAAACTACATATAGTGTGATTACAATTACATAAATATTTTCTTACTATTTTCTTTTCAAAAGTCAAATTTATTTTAAGTTACTCCAACAACAAATGACAAATAATAAAGACAAGAAGCACTTACTTGATCTATATTTAAATTAGCGACCATCAAAACAGTAGGGTTTTCATCTAATCCTGTTTGAATGAACACTTTTTTAAAGTCTTCCTTAAATTCTAGGTAGGCATAATTGTGAGATACAGGCATTTGGTACAGTTTGTGTTGTGTCAAATGACAGGCCAAAGTTGTACATGTTGTTTTTCCACAACCATCTATTCCAATCTATAGAGGGGACAAAAATCAACATAGAATTCCTATATATATTATGAGAATCTTTAAATCTATACTTTTATGTTTCATTGTGCTAGAAATTTAGACAATAAAATTACCTCAGGCTATTTTTCTAAACATGCTGTGAGGTATATTAGACATTATTTAAGAATTTTATCAATTTCATTAGGTACATTCAATATTTTCACAATTTATTTTCATAGTCTCTTGAAATATATGAAATTAAAAATCAAGAAAAATAACAGATAGGTCTATAAATCTTTATGTCACTGTTTATACTTGATCTTTCATCAATAACAAATTAGGGCTTTTCCCACTTATATTGATCAGTTAAGAACTTGACAAATAATCTGGTAATAGTGGAAAACTACTGCCTTTTAAACCACTTTATTGATATATAATTTATAGGTCATTTATGTTTTAAGTGTACAATTCAATGATTTTTAGTAAACTTAGAGGTATACAAACATCACAGTAATCCATTTATTATAACATTACCATTATCCCCCCCCAAAATCCTTTATGCACATTTGAAGTCAATTCCATTCCCATTCAGTCACAAGGAACTTTTAATATGCTTCTGGTCTCTATAAATTTATATTTCATAGATATTTTATGTAAGTGAAACAACTTGATATGAGGATTTTGTTATTGAGCTTTAATAACATAGTGTGCATTAATTTTTATATTTTTATCATTGAATCTTATTCTAGTGTATGGACGTACCACAATTTATGTGTTCATTAACCCTCCAAAACCTGCTTGGATTGTTTCTACATTTTGGCTATTATGAATCCTGCTGATATAAACACTTTTATCCTTGAGTGAATATTTGTTTTTCTCTTGCTAACATAGAAGTGGAATTGCTTGGTTATATGGTAAATCTGTACAAAATGTCTAAACTGTTTCCCAAAATAGTTGTACCGTTTTACATTCCCAACAGCAACATCTAAAAGTTAGAGTTTATCACATCTTTACCAACACTTGTTACTGGCTATTAAAAAAAAAAAAAAGGATTACAGCTATTTAAACGGGTTCTCTGGGGATACCTAACGATGGTTTTAATTTCATTTGTCATGATTAAGCCCGTTGAGCATCTTTTTGTGGGCTTATTAGCTATTTGTGTATTTGGTAGGGTGAAACATCTACTCCACTATTTTGCACATGATGGCGGTTAGATTCTGTGTCAACCTGAGAGTGCGTGGGTGAAGGCTGAGGCAGAGGAAATGCAGCCTGATGATGTCTCCATAAGGGATAAACTGAGAGCTTTTGCCTTTCTCTCTGCACGTTGCCATCCTGATTGCTGGGACTTTGCCTGCCTCCAGGGGCAGATCCATGTGGGCCCCAGACTCTGAGGGCTGTGGGTGCCCTGCTGTGTTTCCACTGACCTTGGAGTCATATGACGCTCCACCCACGGGCATGTGATCTTCCCGTGTTCTGCTTCACCTTTCTGTACGATCTGCCTATGGTCATGTGAGTCTGAAGAAGGTTTTGACTAGCATTGTACCCATGGATGTAGGGTTAGACCGGGCTGGGACACTTTCTTGATATAAAATTACTTCTTGATACATATACAAGGGGTACCCCCCAAAAAACCCCAGATTTTTTTCAAAGCTATGGATTTAAATTTTTTTTTTTTTTACAAAACAACCTTATCACATTCAAAATACTCTCCATTACACATAATACATTTGTCAAATCTGCGATTCCATTCATTTTTCAAACTCATCTGTTTGGATGGCTGACAGCACCTCCCTTTTTTGGGGTCACTCCCCTACATTGTAAATTTGCTGTCCTTCCATGTACCTCTTCATTCATGGAAACCAAAAGAAGTCCCATGGAGCGAAGTCAGGTGAGTCAGGTGTGGGGGGCAAGAGAGGCATGTTGTTTTTTGCCAAAAATTGGTGTACTGAGATGGCTGTGTGAACCGGTGAATTGTTGTGGTGGCAAAACCAGTCCCTTGTCTGCCATGAATCAGTCTTAAATTTTTTTAATTAATAATTTTATTGGGGGGGCCTCTTACATATCTTACAACAATCCATCACTCAATTGTATTAAGCACACTTGTAAATAGGTTGTCATCAACATTTCCAAAACATTTTCTTTCTACTTGAGCCCTTAGTATCAGCTGCTCTTTTTTACCCTCCCTCTGCATCCTCCCACCTTAGTGAATCCTCAATCAATTATATATTATTATTGTTATTTCATATCTTACACTGTCCATTGTCTCCCTTCACTCACATTTCTGTTATTCATCCCCCTTGGGAGGTGGCGGTGTCTATAAATCCAACCTTGTGAGGGGTTCCCCTTTCTATGCCCTCCACCCCTTCACCACCCCCTCCCCTAATGATATCATTCCTCCCACTACTGTTCCTGAGGGTGTTATCTGACCTGAATTCCATGTACAGACAGCTCTTATCTGTACCAATGTGTGTACTCCAGGTTAGCTGGATTTGTAAGGTAGAACTGGGTTATGGTAGTGGAGGAGAGGAAGCATCCAGGAACTAGAAGAATGATGTGTATTTTGTTGGTGGTATACTACATCCTGAATTGTCCCTTAATCAGGCCTTTTTTGTAGCACACTGTTATGTAATCTTTTCATAACCCCTAAATAGAAAGCTTGATTAACAGTCTGACCTGGTGGAATGCACTTCAAATGCACAACAAGTGGACAGTTTTGTCCATTTGGGAAGTTGATGGATGTCCTGAAAGAGGTTTGTCATCAATTGATATTTCACCTTTTTTGAAAGGAGAAAACTTGAGTCCCCCCGCCCAAAGATCTGTCCTTGTAAGCTGTGTTCAACATCACAACAGTTTTTGCGGCACTTTGAACCCCAAGCAGAAAACAAAATTGGCAGGAAACAGCCGCACGCTGTTCTCTTAAATTGGCCATTACTAAAATTGAGGGTCAAGTGAAACTGCTTTTATGAAAAGATTCACTGTGACCACAGAGAATCTTCCCAGGTGATGCCACTGCATGCACTAACTTAGAATGAGTTGCTCAGTGCTTGCCTAGTGGAAAAAATGCATACTGCAAAAGCTCTGCCTAATAAGAGTTTTTTCCCATTTTGTTGGGGATACCCCCTCGAATGCATATCTCTGGATTTGTTTCTCTAGACAACGTGGCCTAACACATTATGGTACTGGGAGTAGCGTGCTAGAAAAACAAATCATGACTATGGAAAGGGGACGCTTGTCTGACCTCTGCCTCATGGCAATCACATGGAGTTGGGCTTTCCTTAACCTTTGGAAGGCCAGAGGAGTTCAGAGAGGGCTTTGAGCTTAACTCGGTTGTTACCTGGAAAGGACAGGTGAAGTAAAACTTTTGCTCCTTAGAAGCTGTCATTAGTTATTCCTACCTGAACTGGAGCAAATGCATATGATGGATTTTGGGTTGAAGCTCATGGAGAAAAAGCACCTTTTGATTTTTTCAGAGGCAAAAGCTATGTTGTTTAGTCAAAATGGATGACAGCAGGCTAGGCCCTGGTTTGAGCCTGCCTGAGACCTATAGCCATGTTGCATATGAAGGGAACAGTTTCCCTAAGAAAGTTTGAGTGTTTCAATAATTCTGTTTAGGATTTGGCTAGACAAGGTTTATATGGATTTCTCCTACTTACTGAGAAATAAGATAGAAATAATGAGATAGAAATGAATATTAAATTATTTTTAGAGAGAACTGGTAAGAGTTCACTGCCTTCAGCCATTGCAATTGGATCTGCTAAAAAGGACATTAGGACTTACATGCAAGCAAAGGCTCTTTGCTTGAAACCAAGGTAGAAATCTTAGAAAAGGTAAGCCCCACTTGGTGCTTTGAATGCCATGGCATTTGCTTTGAAAAGCAGTTTTATCTAGGCCAGAAAAGTCTTGGACTATTAAAGAACTCTCCTCTCTAGGACTGAACTTTAAAGGAAGCCTGCAGGCAGCCTGAAGTGCTTGCTAGGGACCTCCTGGATCTACTTGTTGGGTGGAAGTGGGGGAGATGCCGAAATGGACAGACTGGTTAACTCTGGTCCCTGACATGCATGAACCAGGCTCATGGGGACTGGAGGGAAGACAAAAACAAGTTGGCTGCTCTAAAGCTTAGAGTTATGAGGAACCTGAGCCTATGGCATGACCTAGCCTGAGGGACAGGGTCATTGAGAATTTGTGAAGGAACCAGTGGTCTGAATGTGGAGGGGGTGAGGAGGTGTGTGGAGAACCTCTTAGCTTGCTAAAGCACCTACTGACCTAGTTTGCAATGGCTCAGGCTGAGGTGACCCTAAACCTACCAATGAAGAAGAAGAAGAAGGACCCTGTGAGCTGGTGTACATTGCTTGTGGGCTTGATGGATGGTCTAGATCTGACTATGCTTATGGATGCAGACCTACATGAGTTTAATTGGTTGCCGATTCTTCACATCGAAGAACATGCTTGTCTCGTCAGAGCACTGGGTTGATAAAAATGGCCAGTTTAGAAATTAGTTATGCAAAACGGGAGGAGATCAAGGCATGATGTGGCTGACTTATAAACACTCATAAGTGAAGGAAGATGTTGATAGGACTATAATGTAGGGGTCCCCAAGATTTCCAATGTTAGACATAGAACATTTTTTGTTTTGTTATGTATGAAATATAAAGTTTAAATGGGCCTATGATCCATGCGAGCTGGAAAGACCTTTAACACATTAACTGACCCATGAAGTGAGTAGGACTGAGCTCTCTCTCTGCAACTGTGGGGGCTGCTTTTCTGTTATAATGACCTTCATAATATGAACTTCTCTACTTACATACATTCACAAGTGTCCTAGTTTTGCTTCTCTAGCGAACCCAGCCTATATACCCATTAAAAATAAGCTTTATTTTTTAGATTAGTTTTTGGTTTAAAGAAAATTGTACAGAAAGTATGGTGTATCATATCCCTTGTGATGGTTAATTTTATTGTCGACTTAGCTAGGGTATGGTGACAGTTGTTTAGTCAAGCACTAGTCTAGACGCTTTTATGCAAGAGTTGATGTGACTAAATCAGTTGGCCTTAAGTAAAGCATTCTACCTACCATACTTTAGTCAGCTGCAGGTCTTAAGAATTAAAATGTACATATGTAAATACATTAATCCATAAAAATAGAGGTCTTGGCCGATGTACATATATTTATACAGCAATAAACTGACGGAGGTAGGGGATGGACTTTGGGCCTCTGCCCATACCCCCTCCCTCAATACAAGAACACTTTGTTCTAACGAATCGGCAGTCTGAGATGCTCACCCTCCCGACACGATTGCTGAAGACAAAACAGGTGCATAAGCAAATGTGGTGAAGAGGACGGATGGTGACTGGCTATTAAAAGATACAGCGTCTGGGGTCTTAAAGGCTTGAAATTACACAAGCGGCCATTCAGCAGTGAAGCAACAAGTCCACATGGAAGAAGCACACCGCTGGTGCAATCATGAGGAGTCATAGGTACCAGGTAATGGGCATCAGCAGAAACATAACAAACAAAAACATGTTGAGAATGAGAGGGGCTGGAGCAGAGATCCAAAGTCCATCTGTAGATACTAGAACAATCTCACCACAGAGGGCCCACAGGGAGGGGATGAGTCAACAGGGTGCAGTAAAGCATCAATGAAATGCACTGATATATTCCTCTGGTTCCTTGAGGCTTCCTCACCCCCCACTACCATGAACCCAGTGCTGCTTCTCAATTCAGACTAGACTGGAACATGTACTCAGGTATAGAAAGGGATGGGAGCTCAGGACACACAGAATCCGGGAGTGGGAATGGTGATACTGGGAGGGTAGGGGGGAGCGGGGGAGAAGGGGAGAGGAAGGGAGAAAGAGGGAACTGATCGCAACGATCGACACATAACCATCCACCAGAAGAACAACAGAAAAAATGGGGGAAGGGAGATAGTGGTCGGTGTGAAAGATGAAAATAATAACAATGTACAATCTCCTGGGGGTTATGAGGGGGGATAACAAAAAAAGAGCCGGTACTGAGGGCTCAATAGAAAGTAAATGTCTAGAAGAGAATGAAGACAACATATGTACAAACATGCCTGATTCATTTGATGTATGGATTGTGTTAAGAGTTGTACGAGCCCCCAATACAATGATTTTTTTTTAGAAAAAGAAGCATTAAAAATAGTTTTCCCTCAGATGTATTCTACTTCCAGATTATAAACAGATATCTTTCCAGAAGTCCTCTATCACTCTTCACAATAGCTAGGGATTTTTTGAACATAATACGGCAAGAATCTCCAGCTTGTCAACTGACCTCTGGATTTTGGGAATCAAGACTTCAAGAATTTCCAATATAGGGCCTCACCTACAGAGTTTTAGACTTGTTAAATAACAAAACAAAACAACAGCCCCCCCCCCCTCACTGAATCAATTCTGATTCATGGCAGCTCCCTACCATTGCATGGGTCAGTTTCTTAAATTCTATCTATCATCTCTTATTGCTTTTATTTCTCTAGATCATACAGATGAAAACATTTCAGTACTGAGAGTAGTTCTAGAGAATAGAATTTCAAAGGAGAGCTTTCTAAATCGGTTTTGGAATTTCTGGTGTTTGTTCTGAAATATGGTTAGTTTTAAAAGCACTAATGATTTTACTTCTAATAATAAAGCCGACACTAATAGTTCCTCTAATACAAAGGAGCTCTGGCAACACAATAATTCAATGCTCAGTTGCTAAGCAGTGGCTGGCAGTTCAAATCCACCAGTGGTTCTGCAGGAGAAAATACCCAGGGATCTGCTCTCATAAATGTAACTGCCGAAGAAAGCTGTTTCCAATAGCAAGCAGATGGAACCAATCCAAATGCCCATCAAGAAAAGAAATGGATAAAGGACTTTTAGAAAAGACACACAATGGAATACTATGCATTGGTCGAAAATAATAACAAAACCATGAAATACCTCATGATATGGATAGAACTGGAGAACATTGTGTTGAGTGACGTCAGCCAATCACAAAAGGACAAATACTATGAGGCCACTGTTACAGAGGGGAAAAAAATCAAGATGAAGACTTTCATAACATAGGTAGCAAATTTTGGAGTTTGCCAAAGGGAGAAGGGAGGGAGAGGAAGGATGGAGCAATGGGCTAGATGGCTGAAGGTTGATGACCTGAGTAGTGGAGGATGGTGACTCACAGGATGGAGAGGGGAAATCAAGGAGCAAGGAGTGGGGGAAGGGTGGGCCTTTAGGAAATGTGATTGGTACTTTAGACTGTGGAATGGGTAGATGATCTTAAATATAAATCTCTACCTAAGTTACTATATATATGATACAGTATACATAATAATCTAGATATTCATATGAATTATTATTCATGTATTCATCAATTCATGAATATATTATTACTGTATTCTATATTATATACTATTGTTATATATAGTGTATATATATATTATTCATAGTGTATATAGACTACATCAATAGGAAACAAAGAGAGAAATACAGTGTGAAACAGTTCTACTCTGTCATACAAGATTACTATTGGCTGGAATCAACTAGATGGTATACAATGGTCCATGACATGATGCAACACTAGATATATGCATAATATGATCCTTAAATATTTCTGATCAAATACTTAGAAACCCTGGTGGTGCAATGATTAAGCATTTGCTATGACTTGAACATTAAGTAGTAAAACCCATCAGTTGCTCCACAGGACAGAAGCCCTGGCAACATGCTTTTACAGAGCTTAAAGACTAGGAAACTCTATGGTGGAAGAGGATTCAAGACGGTTGAGGAGACAGAACCACTAACCAAACCCTCGAAAACAAAGATTTGAGAAACCAAGTGAAATGGTTATGAATGACAAGCCAGGAACCCAGAGCTTCAAAGGAAAGGATAAAGAAGCATATCAAATACACTGAAGAGAATGGTGACGAATAAGATCACACAAAGTATGTATGAATTGTTGAATGTAAAACTGTTGATAAGTTCTCTTTGACTCCTGATTTTAATAATTTGAAGAGTCTTTTTCCTCTAGTGTAGCTAAAGATTGTCAATTTTGTTGACAAGGAAGCAATTGTTTATGTTGCTTTTCTACTTTTTTCCTCTAATCATTTTTGTTTCTTTCTTTCTGCTCGTTTGGGGTTCAGCTTGGCTTCCTTTTTGTAGCTCTCTGAGGTGCAATGCTAAGTTGTTGATTTGAGATTTTCCTCTTCTTAGACACAGCTATAAAGTTTTCTCTAACATGATTTAGGCATGTTGCTTTGGGGTTCATTTATGTTAAAATATTTTATAATTTTCCCCACAATTCTTTCACTCATTGACTTTTTGAATTTTTTTCTTTCAATAATCGACTATCACTTGTAAAATTTTCACGTATCTGTTAATTTCTCTAATTTCCTTCTGTTATTGTTTTTTAACTGAATTCCATTGCAACCAGAATACATATTTTGTTTGAGTTTTAATTAGTTAAAGTACATGGTCTATCCTGGAGAATAACTTGTGTGTGCTTAAGAAAGATATATATTCTACAGTTTTGAGTAGAGGGCTCTGAAGATGTGAATTAGATCAATTTTCTTTATCGAATTGTGCAGGTCTTTATCTTGGCTGATTTTATGCTCAGGTGCTGTATCAATAATTGAGATCAGAGGCATTGAGATCTCCCACTATTATTATGAAATTATTTATTTATTTCATTACTTCTGTCAGATTGCGTTAATATATTTTGGGGGGTTGCTGTTAGGTGTGTAAATATTTATAATTGTTATATCTTCCTGGGGATTAATCTTTTTTATCATTATAACATGTATTTCTTTGTTTCAAACCACGGGTTTTTTTGCCTTAAAGTCTATTTTGTCTAGCACTAGTATGCCCATTTCAACTCTCCTTTGGTAACAGTTTGTATAGTTTATCATAATTCATCCTTTTATTTCAACCTCTTTGTGTCTGTGAATCTAAAGAATGACTCTTATTGACAACCGATATTTGGATTTTCTTCTCTTAAAAAATATCCAGTCTGACAAGTTCTGCCTTTTTATTGGTATATTTAATGTACTTACTTTTAATATTATTGTTGGTATGAGTTAATGTATAGCTGTAATTTTTGTTACCTGTTTTGTTTATGTTTCATGTTTTTTCCCCTGCTTCGATTCTCCTTTACTATCTTCTTTTGCATTAACAATATTTTCTAGAGTTCCAACTTAAATATTTTTTATTATGAAAAATAAGGCTTTGTGCAAAGGTTTACACTTCTAAATCAATAAGTGTACTGTGGTTTAAGGCATGACTGACCTTCAAAGATACTTTGTTAATACCAAGGATACACTAGAAATAGTACAAGATCCATAAATTTTATCTTCACCAAACGCCTTCTAGAATGAAAAAAATTTTTTGTTCCTCTCCAGTCTGTTGTCAGCTGGTGTTGAGTCAGTTAGAAGTCACACTAACCGTAGATACAATAGAACAAAACTAATGTAATCCTTTATGCGACTCAATGATGATGGTTTTCCAAAAGTGTATAGATACATACATTTGTATAAATGAGATACAGTTTATTAAAATGTCCTTATTTTATTCCTTTTAATTTAAAAAATATCTAAAAAGTTAAAATCCTACCAGTAACATGTGACTCCACGGTTGTCGAATGACCCTTGTCGCTCTTGTAATATGTTGTACGGCTTCTTTGAAGAACACCAGAGAATGAGAAATCTTACCAAGGAAGAGGTAAATAAACAGACAAACAGATTAGAGGAGAATGTGGTTTCACCTACTAGGAGACAGGAATGGAAACAGCCATTCAAGCCATCCAGCAATCGAGGTCCAGGACACTGATAGTTAGGGGACGGAAGTTCCACAATGAGGATCGGCACTGTGCCAATCCGCTGATGAGCAGTATCGGGCGTGGGGTGGGGGTGGGGCGCGTTTGGTCCTGGGCGCGAAGATAAGGACCAGAAGGACACAGCACCCAGGATGATTTTCTATTGCTCTGTCTTGGGAAAGTGGCGGAAAGCAAAGCCTTAGGAGATTGGTTTATGGTATCTAAGGTTGTATTGGTGTCTCTGTTCAAAGACAGTACAACCATGAAATATTAATTCCCTCCTCTCTGCCCACAGTAGCAATGGAACAGAGGTAAAAAAGTCACGCCCATTTTGCTGACTATATTGCTACTCTGGGCATGCTGGCAAGCTCTCTTTCGCATTTCTTAACTCCATTCAGAGATAAGAAATTCATTAAACTCTTTGCAGCCTCAGGTGTGCACTTTAGCATCTAAATGAGACAAAATAAGATAAAATAATGTAAAATTGTGTATTTTCCTTTTTATTTCCTAGAAGGATCATGAACTTTAAAAAAAACCCTATATTTCTAATGATCTATAAATACCTTGATTCAGAATCAATTAACAAGTGTTTTTTTTTTCATTTTTGAAAATTCTGTTTATTTTCTGAAATGCCTTCATTGTATAAAGCATCTACATCTTATATTTAGCATGTGCTTAAATATAAGAATACATTATATTATGTTTCAGAATAGTAAGTATGTATGTACCATGGTTCGTGCTCTACTGGATGAGACATAGTCTTCCTCCCCTGACAATGTTTTCGGCAGTATCTCTTATATTCTTACTGATTGTGTCCTTTGGGCCCCTCTGCTGGACGGACATGGCCATTTCTTGTGGGCACTTGTACTATATCCGAACAGTGGGTTTAAAATTACACATACATATACATTCCATACACAGACATACACGTATACATATACATACACACAAATATCCTATTTCACACACATACTTGTTCAGTGGATTTCATTTGGGATTTATAAAGTTTATGAAAAAATGGAATGGAAAGCTAATAGACATTTCCAAGAACGTTTTTGAAGTCCCTTTGTATATTTAATTTAAACCCAACCCTGTGGCCTAGAGTTGATTGTGACTCACACTGAGCCTACAGAAGAGAGAACGGCACCTGTGGTTTCAGGGTCTAGAACTCCTGGAGTAGTCAGCCTCATCTTGTTCTCACAGAGCAGCTTGTGGGTTTGAAGGCCTTTCAGGTAGCAGATCAATGCTTAATCCACTGTGACACCATTCTAGCACTTTCTCTATGTACAGTAGCCTCAAATTTTTATATAGTAGGTGCTTTACCTCCAAAGATGTAGGCCCCAATTTCATCTGGAATTCGTGAAGTATACTGGCAAGTTTATAATAGTTATTGGTATTCTTATAGATCTTTTTCCCATGAGGCTTGTTGATATTCAAGAAATCTACAAAGACTGTCGAGTCATTCATCAACTTTTCTTTGGTCCATGAAATCTGTTGTAAGATAATAATTAAGTGTCTCTGAATACCACCGTTCTCTCTGTTCTCAATATTAAAGTAGCATCTGCAAAATAGAAGCTCGTGGCACAAGGGAGCTCTGATGTAGGGGTTGTAGCCCCGCCCCTTTTTTGTTGCTATTGCATCCCTTTGGTCAGTGATCCTTTTTGGTCAATGAAATCCTTTTCAGAATAAGGGGGTTAAAGCACATAAAATAAAATGCAAGAGTCGTAAAAGACAAAGAAACAAATTCACTGTTTTCAACTCAATTCCGACTCATAGCGACCTTATAAAGTAAGGTAGAACTGCCCAAGTGGGCTTCTGAGACGAACATTTTACAGGAACAGACAGCCTCATCTTTTCTCCATGGAGCGGCTGGTGGCTCAGACCTGCTGACCTTGTGCTTAGCAGCCCAATGGGCAGTTACTACGTCATCAGAGCTCCTTAGAGTTGTAAAGGAAACCCAAAATGGTGAACTACAGTTGCAAACATGAACACTCTGAGGTTTGGGTTTCAGGTTAATAATTCCTGTTGTGGAAATAACATTTTAACATCCTACTTGAAAACTGGAAAAAACAAAACAAAACAAACTCTCCCTTGGTGTTAGCTGCCCCTGAGTTCACCCATGACCCCGTTTCAGAGTAGAGCAGCTCCGTAGGGTGTTCTGGGTCACGAGATTGCTATGGCAGCAGCGTGCCAGGGCTGTCTTCTGTGGGGTGGCTGGGTGGGTTAGCACGGCTAGGCTGTGTTTTAGCAACCAATGCAAATGCTTGTGCCTCCAGTTCCTACTTTGCAGCCTTCCAATCACGAGGCCCATCTCCCGGTGCTGCGCCGTTCCACTGCTATCTAATGCTTTCAGTGGCTAACCCCTCAGAAGTGGACGGCTTGTTCCTTCTTGCTAGTTTTTCAGTCTGAAAACTCTACTGACACCTGCCCATCATGGGTGATCCTCCTGGTCTTTGAAAGACCAGTGGCAGAGTTCCCAGCATCACAGCAACATATAAACTACAATAGAATGACAAACTGACAGACAAGTGGCGGTAACTATTATTAGTGTTATAATATTGTATTAAAAAGAGAAATACAAAATACCAATCAAATGATACTGCATAAACTTTCTCAAAGAAATAATATGCATTCTATGTCTAGAGGAAGGTTTGGATAATATGATCTTTTATTTGGGGTAATAAGGCTGCTCCTACCATCCATAGATCTGGCCCTTGGTAATGGAAGACTCAAGTTCTGGATTTTTCCATAGTCATTGTTTGCTCATTTTCTACTACCTCTATATTTCTTAGTCTGATAATAAAAATGACTTAAAAATAACACTTATAGAATGTTTAGGAACTTCTCCTGAGGTAGTAATGAGCTCTCTTTAGGTGATTATTTTAGTAAACTGTCTATTCCTTCATTCCATCCTTTATTTACTCTCTCATTCCAAATATGTTTATTAAGTGTCAATTGGGGGTAAGGCAAGATGATAATATTTGAGGATCTAGCTATGGATAAAACGCAGTGACTTTGTTCTCCAGGATTCATAGATTGGAGAGAAAGAGGTAGTTACATTATAATAAATTGCATGGTAAGGAAAGTCCATGGTCTTATGGGTATACAAAGAAGGGGCACTTAACCTGGAGAAGAGGTGGTTGCCAGAGAAGTTCACCAGAAGGGAGAAAACTTGAACTGCACTTGGAAGGATGGCCAAGGTTGATGCAGGGGGAGAGACTTGCAGGAGTAAAGGCAGAAGCAAGAGAGACCAGGTCAAGTGAAATGAGTAGGGACTGAGAATAGCTAAGCATGGGCCTCATCATGAAGGTCCTTATTTACAATGTCAAGGAATTTGTACTTTATTTTAAGAACAACTGAGCATAATATGCTCAGATGAAGAATTTAGGAATCTCACTGTGACAGCCTTATGCATTAAGCATTAAGCATTAACTAGGAGGACCAGATTGGTGTCAGAGAGATTTGTTAGAATCTAGATGAGAAACCACAAAAGCTTGAACCAGGATAAGCATCAGTGGATAGAAAGAAGAGAATAAATTGAACAAATATCAAAGCAGTAGCATCACAGAGTGAGGTCACGAATTTGAAATGGGCATGAGGGAAAGGGAGGAGACCAAACTGATGCTCTTCTGAAAAAAAGCTGATGCTCAGAGAGGCTTAGGTGGTAATGCGAGTGCCTGAAGTAGGGAATATAAAGTCAGGGAATGCGGAGAGGAGGGAAGATACAGTGAGCAAAGACTCTATCAAAATAGTGAATGATGCAGAAAGCATCCAAATTAGATGAAAATAGTAAACAGACATATTACCGAAAAAGAACCCAGTTGATATCCAACTATTTCAAGAGGTAGCATATGATCAAGAACTAATGGTACTGAAGGAAGAAGTCCAAGCTACACTGAAGGTATTAGCTAAAAACAAGGCTCCAGGAATTGATGGAATACCTATTGAAATATTTCAACAAGCTGATGAAACACCGGAAGCATTCACTTGTCTATGCCAGGCAATTTGGAAGACAGTTACCTGATCAACTGATAGGAGAAGATGCATATTTGTACCCATACCAAGGAAAGGTGACCCAACAGAATGCTCAAATCACAGACCAATATCATTGATTTCACATACAAGAGGAAAATGTTGCTGAAGATCATTCAACAATGGTTGTAGGAGTTCGTTGACAAGTAACTGTCAGAGGTTCCGTTTGGATTGAGAAGATGATGTAGAACAAGAGATATCATTGCTGATGTCGGATGAATGTTCATGGACAGCAGAGAATACCAGAAAGATGTCCGCTTATGTTTTGTTTACTATGCAAAGGCATTAGGCTCTGTGGCCCATAGCAAGCCATGGGGAGGCATGAGAGAATGGACATTCCAGAATCTTTGATTGTGCTCATTCAGAACCGATGCACCATTCGCTCACAACGCTTTCAGCGTGTTGGAACGTCTTCTCTTGTGATCTGGGACGGAGACGAGCACTGAAGAAAACAGACGTAGCAAGCTAGAGAGGCACGAGGAGTCTCACTGAAGTCTCAGGAGAGGGTACGTTTCTGCTAGTCTTGAAGAAAAGTGAGCAGTTTAAAGTGAAAATATAAAGCAAAGGCATAAAGTCCCCACAATTTCTATCATATCAGGCTACACTCATATGTTATGGAGAAATACGGCATTATTAATAAGATAAAGTTCTTTCACTGATACTTTTCTAGAACAACGTTTTCACCCCAAACTCCATTTAAGATAAGTTTTGAAATGTAAGCTTACTTGAAAGTAGTTCTTAAGCTCCCTTGAAAGAAATTGATAGAAAAGTCCTTTGTCGGTATGCTCAATTAAACGATCATGAAACACTCGGGCGGCTTCATGCACAAAGAGCAGCGCGGCCATCTCTTTAGAGTTAATAACAGCCTTGTCAGCTTGCAGCAGGCCGAGAAGAAGCTGTTAGGGATGGAAAAGAACAGTTTGAAACATCAGCCGGACAATTTTTAAAGCACCATGTGAAATAGAGTCATAATATTTGTTGGATGACGTTCACAAAAGCAGAAGCAACTATTCAAGGTAAAAATTTGGGATGAGATGCATAAAGTTATGAATCCAGGTAAGCATGGAATCACCCACAGAGGAGGGATTATGGAGAGGTTTTAGCATCTCTACTGGAAACTTTGCTGGCCTGGGCAGGTACAAGACTGCTCAGATACTGGTACTGGTACTGGTATGGAGGAAGGGGACTGGTAGAGTGTCTTTATATGTTCTAAAAAACTTATAACCCATTTTCAAAGATTATATATACTACTTGGGATCAAGTCCCACAGGAGAAGTATATTAAATTTATGTATTCTACTTAACATTTCAATTTGGAAATTTATTTGATTAAAGTTGATGACTAACTAAATTAGCATTGTTTGCATAATTTCTCAGTATGAAAAATACAACTTCTGAAAGTTCATGCATGCTTATGAAAGTCATACATGCTTTCAATTTTGAGAGTTACAATAAAGACTTAGAAATAAAGCAAGGCCCAAATTCCATAATATCCTTTCCTTTTTCTCTGCTGAAGATCTTAACCATCATGACCAGCTGTCTCTAGTCATGTCATTGTTGCCTTCTCTCTAAAATAATGACATTGTTTTCAACCAAATGAACTAGACATTCCACTTTTCCTTATCCTTTAACCATATAATGTTGACAATATCCATGAGTAAGTAAAGAAATATATAGAGGCACTGTGAATTCCGTAAGTCAAGTTACATGTAAACATTTTGAAATTAGAGAATTAATTTGGATGCAAACCTTAAAAACATCTCGGAGATTAAATATGTAGTGACACTTCGTTGGGGTGGGCAGCATACTCTGACGCACTTGATAGTAGATAGCGAGGGAACAGCATATGAGTTGGTCCTTACTTTTCTGAACTTCAGATGTGAAGTTATTGATGGAGAAATACATTTCCAAATGAGTCTGTGAAGAGAAAGTTTATCATGTAGTTTGCAAAAACATTGAAGATTAGACGCTTTCTGGTGATGCTCTTCCAGAGACTTACATACTATAGTAGGGGGTTACTTTAATTGGAAAGTTTCATGAACACAATCAATTTAAAACAGGAAAGTAGACTATCAAAGAAACTCTGAATGTTGAAATTGGGGACAAGGATCACTGACCTGAATTTGTTGTATGGTCTAGAGGTGTGAGCTACATGCTCTCTGGGGACAATGGACTGTCCCACATCTGAGCATCTCAGGAGTCTGGGTGATGTGGGAGGGAGTTTCGAACCGGGCTGCTAACAGCAAGGCCAGCAGTTCTAAACCACTCGTCACTGCAGGAGAAAGATGAGGCTTTCTACTCCTGGAAGGAATGGGTCTCAGAAACCCATAAGACCAACTCAACCCTGTCCTATCAGGTTTCTATGAGTCAGAATCAACTTGGTGGTGGTTAGCTATTGTTTTAGGAGCATACCAGGTGAATTGGAATGTCTCCATCACTCAATTCCCTGGTAGGTGTTTCTAGCAGTGGCAGGAAACACAACTACCTTCTGTGTGTTCCTTCTAAACCAGGCTTTCTTGAGGTATGGATTGTTGATCACCTGCCTCAGAATTATGAAGTGATTTTAAAAAACAAATAAAACAATACTCTTGAACATTTATAGTATAAAGAAGAAAAATCCTTATGATTGGTTTGGAAGAATTTCCTAATCTTGCATTAGATTTATTTTTCTTATCAAACTCCATTTCCACTTGAGCCTTTTTTAACAATATGGATTCCTTCTCTCAGTGTTTTCTTTTGTTACACAGGGAAATGAAAATAACAAATCAGTTCTAGCATCAATCCAGCAAAAATACAAATAAAACACTATCAAGTTATTATTATTTTTGACAGAGACATATTTTAACAACAGGCCAGACAATATAGGGAGAATAATCTTTAAGAGAATTTTCTTTAAATAATAAGTGGTTAAAAGTCTTCCTTTGACCAGTGTCTCATTTCAGTAGAAAATGGATTGTCTGTATTACCTGGAAAATAGTATTCAAGGCACTCTGCGGAGGATGAGGCAAGACCAGTATGGAGAAGTGCTTGAGGAGACGTGGGCTAATATCTCTGCCACCAATGGGCGGGGCACAAGCTGCAACCAGAGAGAGGTCTTGAATATTCTGGGGGAAGGATAAAAAGCAAGCATAACTAAATGTTTCTGCAGCATGGAAAATATTTACCTTCCTTGCCACAAATGGACAAGAGATTTAAAAATACTTAGCCAATAAGATTAAGAAAGACATAGTATAAATGGATTCCTTTTTACAAATTATGATAATAAATCTATCTTTTAAGAAGTAATCCATCCTAAAGTGTAACGTCAAGACAGGTTACTTCTAGGAAGCCTACAAAATATCAGGGAGAATCCATTTAAAAAGCAATCATTGGAAAATAAGCAATATGTTCTGGTGGTAAGTATGAGCTAAGAAAAGCCTGGGATTGTGTGGTCACAGTGATCAGAACGGACTCCTGATGAGATGCCTGTTTACCTGAGAACTTCCATTTGGCATATCACAACACCACAGCATTGTAGAGCTGGGTGCAATCCAGATAATCTAGCCTGTTTACAATGGGCTGCGTTTGACAGCTTCATTCCTGCCTGTGCCCATACAAGATGTGGAAAGTGCACGGTGAACCAGGAAGACAGAAGCACAATTGATGTCGTTGAATTATGCGGTGGTGAAACCCAACCCATACCGCTACCATTGAGTCCGTGCTGACTCACAGCGACCCCTGTGGGTTCCGAGACTAATTGTTTACAAGAGAGTAGAAGGCCCAGCCTTTCTCCCGCAGAGCTGCTGGTCCTTTCCAGCTGCCGACCATGCAGATCGCAGGCCAGGGCGTAATGGTGGGGTGAAGAACAGGTGATGTACCGTGGACTGTCAGAAGAATGAACAAATAAATCTTGTTGGTCAAAGTATAGTTAGAATGCTCCTTAGAAAGGAGGAGGATGTACTAGGTCCTCATGTACTAGGACCATCATAGTAGGAGGAACCCAAATCTGGAAAGGACATGATGCTTGGTAAAAGAAGAACATCCATAATGGGGTTGGTCAACACAATCACTCTAACAATGAGGTTGAACACAGGAAGGCTCGTGAGGATGTGACAGGGCCGGGCTGTGCTTGGCTCTGCTGTATAAAGGCTCACTTTGAGTTGGAACCTGCTTGATGGTGGTACCTAACAATAACAATACACCTATACCCAAGCCCACTGAAATCCCATAAAAAGTCTTTGGCTGCTATTTTCTCATCACTTTGGGGAACGTCTCTAGATTGTATATTTCAGATGCATGTCCAGCATTTTTCATAGTAGTCTCCTGACTTGTCTCCTAGTGGCTTGTATCTGGATTCTTTCTGCTTTGGGTTGATGGTTGGCTCAGTGTGACTAATGTCTGAGGTGATGCCGCTCACCAGCCAGGGTGTCTCATCCAGAATCGTAGGCCCAGGTTGGTCTGAGACATGAGACTGTTAGTAATCAAATGATCTGATTCTACAAATAAGGAAACTGAGAACCAAGAAGTTTAACTAGTACAGTTGCGGGCTTGTACTTTCCAGAGAAGAAATAAAATAGATGCAAAAAAAAATAAATACTGAATTACAACACAAATCTTGATTTCCAAATGCACCAATTAAACTCATTTTAGACAGGCATTCGAAGGAGAAAAGTGCATCTGATTATGTCTTTTAAAAATTTAAGCCGTTCTTACTTGGTTCAATGTGATGAAATATTTACTTGGGATTTTTTTTTTAACTTTGCTATGAACATCTGATTTACATACAACCCATAGTTAGGAACCAATCCCCGTAAAGACTGGTACCTCTACTGGTTCATAATAAAAATGAGAGCTATTTTTCAATGTACATCAAAACATTATTATTATTGTATTATAATACTGAAGATATTTTAATGTATCTGGAAGTGTTTAATTTTTTTATACACAGAAAAGGATGCTATATATTATACTGTAAGACGTACATTTGACTGATTGATGTTAGGCAAAACACTTCTAGACACAAACCTAATTGTTCTGATTTATGTACAACTTTGACTTAGATATTTAGGAATGGAACCATTTGTAATTGGAGGACTATCTGTATTAGGGTCAATCCAGAAGCACTAAACACCAACACCAAATAGTGAAGATATTGTTTCTTGACATATCTGCCATCTATGTCCATATACTTCTCAAAACAGTATTTCCATCCCTCTTACCCTTTCCTACAGAGTTCTGCACTCTTTGATTTATACCACAGCATAACGACATCCTTGTGGGACTCAAGTAGTGTTTCTCTAAAATGTTCTTTGAAGTTTAGAGAATAAAACTAAGTCTGAATAAGCAAGATCAGAGTTACAGGGGTTAGAGTTCCCAACCTAACCAAATTCTCATTGGACAGCCCTCGTTACGCTGGGAGAAAGAGTAGGTGCCGCTCTGTGATGGAAACGAATTCCTTGATGCATCTTTGCCGGCCTTTTTCTTACAAATGCAATTTTCAGTTTTCTTAAAGTTTCCTAATCAGCCCTTCTGATTGTTATGTGTTCGTCACAGAAAATACATCAAGACAACCCCCTTGGAATCCTAAAAAAAGTTGCAATACCTTCTGAGATGATCTCCCTGTCTTGAATTTCACTTCCAAGACTTCCCCGCAAGCCACTGCTCTGATTGGACCTCTTTTTGCAGGCATTCTAACGCGACACAGACTAAGGTTTTACTGAAAGAACTTGTCTGCAGTCATCCTCTGACTACACAAACATGTTTGAACAGGCTTGGTTTAGAATTAATCTAGAACTCGGGTAGCAATACTTACTGACTAACCCTTGTACTCTGAAAATCCTTGTTTCATGTTCTAGAAGATTAAGATGTAGAAGGTCTTACATAGAGAGTCTAAGGATGTATATTGCTGGTCCCCATTTTCACTTGTTTATTGTCTTTGGATTAGAGTTCTTGATGAATTATTAATGCGATTAACAATAGTGAGCATTATTTGCCTGAGAAACTAAACCTCTGGGGCATACTTAAAAATTTCACTAAGATTTTAGCCTACTAAAAATAGAATTCCTATGACGCTGTGGAACTTTTCTAAATTTCAAAGATGTGATTGGCTATGTTAATTTAGGATCACAAACCACAGGCTTTCTAAATTTCTCACCTAATTTAATATTTAATAGATGGTTAAATAATACTACTTAAGTGAATAAAATATGTATACTGTACCTTCCATGTAACTTTTTCAGTATCATAAATCCCTCCCAAATCTAATAATTGTCTGATCAATTCCAATGGTGGTCGGGCTCCGTATCTCTCTGATGCTGGCATATTCAGGTCATCAATAAATATTACAATCTTAAGGAAGACAAAAAGTTAAAAAAATTATACTCCCTTTCTTTGAATTCTGAATTAGGAATATTAATTATGTTATAATGTAAAAATAAAATTATATGAAATAACATGACAATTTTTGCATTAAAATTTATGAACAAAACCATTTCTGAAGATACAGTTTTAGAGAATATTAAGTTTAAAAATAGCAGAAGCTCTACTCACACTCTAAAGAGTTATGATAGTTATGTTGAGGAGTAGTTATATATGCATTTGATACTGGATAATGTAACCTAATGATGATTATGACAAAGGAGAATTATTTATTTAACATTCACTTATTGAGTGAGTGAGGCACTGTCCTAGGTATGTAGGCATTGATTTCATACGCACTCTGGTTTAGAGATAACACTATCATTTGGAATTCGACTTCTGAAATTCTGTTGCAAATGCTGCTCTCTTTAATAATCAGCATAAAATTCACACACATATCAAATTTTTAGACCTGTATTAGCACATTTCCAAATACTATGCACTGAAATACATTCATTATAGTGTCTATCTACATTAAGCCTTTTAGGTTTTGCTAATTTTGGTAAAGTAATAGGTTAAAAAATACAAAGAGCCATCAAATTAGCTCACCTGTAAGTGTAGATACATTTTAAAATAAGATACCCAATTTCCCTGTTTATGTCACAAATGGAGTGATTATAGAAATACTTATTTGACTAACTTTTTCTTGCTTGCCTTTGTTTGTGCTTTTATATCTGATGAAGTCAGTTGAGGTAGAGGTGACCCTGATCAATTAGATTTCAGAATTACTGTTCTTTTAAAATCTCTAAAGTTGTCATGTAGGCAAAGGCCAATCAAGTTTATCCAAATCCTCATAAAACTTAGGGAAATTTGGAGCAAAAATGATATGGAATGGCAAAAGGCTCCCCCAAAGCTGAATCAATATCGAGAGAAAAGAACAAAGTAGCAGGACTCACATGTCTTGATTTTAAAACAGATCACACAACAACGTAATCAAAATTGTCTGATACTGGTATAACATTAGACATATAGACAAATGGGATAGCTTGAGAATCCAGACATCAACTACACATCTATGGTAAATTGAATATTGACAAGGATGCTAACGCCATTTGATGGGGAATCTGAATAAATACTGTTGGGGAAATTGAGTTTCCACATGCAGAAAATGAAACTAATTTGATGCCCAGTGCCAAATTAAAAAACAAATTTTAAATGTATGAAGGCCCTAAAAGTAAAAACCTTGCTGTTAGGTGCTCTCGAGTCAGTTCCAACCCAGGCACAACAGAACGAAATACTGCCTATCCGTTAGCATCCTCACCTTTGGTCCTATGCTTGAGCCCATCCTTGCAGCCACTGTATCAATCCATCCTGTTGAAGGCCCTCCTCTTCTTTCACTGCCCTTCTAATGTACCAAACCCGATGTCCCTCTCCAGGGACTGACCTCTATTGAAAGTACGTAGGGCGAAATCTTGGCATCCTTGCCACTCAGGAGCACTCTGGTCATACTTCTAAAACAGTTACTTGACCTTTTTGGGCAGTCCATGGTACTTTGAATATTTTTCACCAGCACTACAATTCAAATACAGCGATTCTTCTTCGATCTTCCTTTTTCCTGTGTCCAAGTTTCACACCCATATGAGGCAATTGAAAAGCCATGGCTTGGGTCAAGGTGCCTTAGTCCTCAAAGTAACCTCCCTGCTTTTCAACAGTCTGGAGAGGCCTTGAGCAGCATACTTCCCCAATGCCACCCATCTTTGAGCTCTTGAACTACTGCCTCATGAACATGGATTGTGGGTCCAAGTAAGACAAAATCCTTCACAACTTCAAACTTTTCTCCAGTTACCTGGAATTTCCATTCTTCTCAAGGTTATCCATTATTATGATTCAAATGCCTTGGCACAGCCAATAACACAAGTAAACAGCTTTTTGGTATTGTTACATTCAGACAAGATCCATCTGACATCAGCAATGATATTTCCTTTTCTACCTCCTTTCCTGAATTTAGCCTGGACCTTTGGCAGCTCCCTGGCAATGTACTGTTCTACCCATTGTTGACTGATCCTCAGCAAAATTTCACTTGCATGTGGTATCAGTCATGCTGTTCTATAATTTGAGCATAGCGTTGGGTCACCTTTCTTTGGAATGAGTACAAATATGGATCTCTTCCAGCCAATTAGCCAAGTAGCTGTCTTCCAAATTTCCCAGCATAGATAAGTATGTGCTTCCAGTGCTTCACCAGCTTGTTGGCACACTTCAGTTGGTAGCACATCAATTCCTGACTTCATCATCTAGTTGAAACATTTCATTTCAATTTTGGCTAATGCTTTCGGTGCAGTGTGAACGCTTCCTCTGGTACCATTGGCTCTTGCTCACATGCTACCTCCTGAAATGGATTGTCAACTAGTTCTTTTTGGTACAGTGACTTTGTGCATTCCCTCCATATTCTTTTGATGCTTCCTGCACCATTCAATATTTTGTCCATAGCATCTTTCAGTATTGCCACTCCAGGTTTGACTTTTTTCTTTAGTTCTTTCACTTTAAGGTATACTGAGCTTGTTCTTCCATTTTGCTTTTTGAACTCTAGGTCTCTGCACATTCCATTACAATAGTTGTTTTTGTCTTCTTAAGCTACCTTTAAAATTTTCTGTTCAGTTCGACTTTATTATTTCTTCTGTTTATTTTAATTATGTTATGTTTCAGAGTCTCTTCTGAAACCCATTTAGGTCTTTTCTTTCTTTCTTGTTGTTTTAATAACCTTTTGCTTTCTTCATGAATAATGATCTGGATGTGCTCCTGCAAGATTCCTCTCATTACTGTTCAATCCATCAAATATCCTCCTGAGATGGTCTCAAAATTCAGGTGGGTTATGCTCAAGATTGTATTTCGGTTTTCATGTACTTGTTTTAGTTTTCTTCAGCTTCAACCTGAACTTACATATAAGCAATTGACATTCTGTTCCACAGTCAGTCCCTGGCCAGATTTTAACTGCTGATATTGTGTTTCTTTGTCATCTCTTCCCACAGATGTAGTCAATTTGATTTCTGTAATTTCTCCATCTGGAGAAGTCCATGCATATAGCCATATTTTCTGTTGTCAAAAAAAGATATTACTATGAACAAGTCTTTGGTCTTGCAAAATTCTATGATGCAATATCTAGCTTCATTTCCATCACTAGACTATACGTATTTTCTAACCACCCTTCCCCTTCCTCTGTTTCCAACTTTTGCACTCCAATTGTCAATAATTACCAATGTGTTTTGATGGCATGTTTGGTCAATTTCAGATGGAAGACTTCTTCAATTACTTCATCACTAGTTTTGGTGGTTGGTGCATGAATTTAATAATAGTTGTATTGACTAGATTTCCTCAACACAGACAGCATTGTACTTGAAGATAGATCTTGAAATGTCCTTCATGACAATGAATGCAATGCATTCCTCTTGACTGTACCATTTCCATATGCAACCCATCGTTGATCTCTTGAACTGCTGCCTCATGAACATTGATTGTGGAGCCAAGCAAGACAAAATCCTTGCCAACTTTAATCTTTTCTCCATTTATCATGATATTACCTATTGGACCAGTTGTGAGGAGTTTGGTCTTGTTTACATTGACTGTAATCCATACTGAAGACTGTAGTCATTGCTCTTCATCAGTAAGTGCTTCAACTCCTCTTTTGTTCCCACACGCAAGGTTGTGTCATCTGTATCACATGTGGCTAATAAGTCTCCCTCTAATTCTGATGTCACATATGTTTCATATGGTCTGGTTACTTGGATTATTTTCTTGGCACACAGATGGAATGAGTATAGTGAAAGAACACAATCTTGATTCATACCTTTCTTGATTTTAAAACCATTCATGATCTCCTTGTATTGCCAAGACTTCTGTGGTAGTTACATAATTTCATGTCAACTTGAAGACATATAATAGTGTAGGGATAGTATTAAACCTGTCAATCAGATCACAGTCAGATGGTGCCTTCTTGTGGGCATGGCTTTCTCATAAAGAGGATCCTGGGAACCTCCCCTTCTCTCTCTGCCTTCACCTTCCTACTGGTGAGCCACTCTGAGATCTGTTAGAGCCCAGGAGATGAGTTCACCACCACTGGATCCACATGACTTTGCTCCCATTGGCCTGTGATATTCCTGCCTCATGGAACATGGCTGTGTGAGTCTGAAGAGGGGCTTATGGACTAGTATCAGACTTATGGTTTTGAGTTGGACTGGGCTGGGATGTTTTCCTGAAATACAATTACTTCTTTATATAAAGCTCTTTATTACACATATATGACTTGTCTCTGAATTTGTTTCGCTAGTTAATCTGGCCTAACACAACTTCCTCTTGGTACAGGTTCTTCATGAACACAACTCAATATTCTGGAATTTCTATTCTTGGAAAAGTTATTCATAGTTTTTTATGATCCACACAGTCGAATACCTTTGCATAGTCAATAAAATACAAGTAGACATCTTTCTGATATCCTCTGCTTTCAGCCAAGATTCCTATGACATCAGAAATGATATTCCTTATTCCATATCCTCTTCTGAACCTGGCTTGAATTTTTGGCAGCTATTTGTCAATGTACTGCTTCAACTATTTTGGAACTATCCTGAGCAATATTTTATTTGCAGGTGATATTAGTGATTTTGTTCAATATTTCTGCATTCTTTTGGGCCAGTTTTCTTTCCAAATGGTTGCCCAGGTAGCTGTTATCCAAATTTCTTGGCACAGATGAATGAGTGCTTCTAGTGCTATATCCATTTGTTGAAACATTTCAAACAGTATTTCTTCAATTTCCTGGAGTACTGGTGTTGAGAGTTAAGAGTCGTGATGCTAACTACAAGGTTGGTGTTTGACACCGACCGGCTGTCCTGTGGGAGAAAGATGAGCCTGTCTCCTCCCATAAAGATTTACAACCTGTCTTTTAGGTCCCATCACAACAACACACCAGCCAGCACAGGATCACACACTTGACAGACTCGTGGCGGTGAACTCACGTGACTAATAGCAAGTCCTCTTCTGGGGAGAGACCCAGAAGACGAAGGCAGAGACTCACACCGATACTTGTACATTAAGGTAAGCTGCAGCACTATTTGCAATGGTCAAATAGAGAAACAATCTGAAGGCCATCACTGGATGAATAGATAAACAAAATACGGTCCACACATACAACGGGATACGACTGAGTCAGTCAGAGCAATGACGTTTTTATAAAGTACAATAGGGATGGAGCTTGAAGAGGTTATGTGGAATGAAATAAGTCAATCACAAAAGGACCAATAGCATAAACTCACAGATACAAAATGACAATAACAGGCAACTCTATGGAGACCAAAGTTTATTAGTGGCTATCAGGAATGAGGGGGTGGAGGGAAAGGGAGTTTATGGTAATGGGAAATTGTATCAGTTAAGGTTAGGGTTGAACCACCAGTTATTGTAGTGCTGTCAATAAATCGTACACTTGTAAAAGCTGAATTGGCAAAGTCTCTAGGCTAATATGGTCGTTAGATAATTTCATGTCAACTTGAAGATGTATGAAAGTGTAGAGGTGGAGTCAAATCTGTCAATCAAGTCACAACTTGATGGTATAAGAATGTGAGACATTAAGAACTGCTCTTTTTCTCGCCCGCCCCCC